CGTCAGCCCTCATCGCAGTCCCCAGAAACTGATTAATTGTCCGGGCATCATAGGGGACTCGCACCCCCCGAACATAGCTGGTAAATGGCTCAATGCCCTCCTGTCTTAGAGCATTGGTGTAGAACTCCTTGACCACAGCTATGTTGGCCGGGAGTGGGTAGGAACCAAGCTTGTCCCACCTACGCCTGCGTAACTCCGCCTGAAACTCTGGGGCCTCATTGTCTTCTAATTCAACCCTCCGCTCCAAAATGAACTTCTTGCTACTGATAGACTCAAAATGAGTCTCATTCCGCTCGGTGAGGAAGAGGTTGGAATAGGGCTGACTGGGCTTGCGGGGAGGTTGACCCGATTTTCCAGCACGGGGGCGCTTGCTTGAGGAGGCCATCTGCAAAAAATTAATACAAGAAGTACCAGGCAGATAGATGAGCACAATAAGATAAACCAGGATGACCAGTTTAGGTAAAGCACAATGAAAGCTAACCTTAGACTGAAACTGAAACCTAAAAAAGAACTAAAAACAACAAAGACAAGGGTTCAGAGGTGTTTGCGCTGGGCTTGAAACTTGTACGCTAGGCGCAGAGAGCATATAGCTCTCTCTAGAAGCAAATGCGCCGGGCGCAAAACATAATTGTGCCGGGCGCAGAGAGTAGAGAGGACTCTCTGGAACCAACTACGCCAGGCGTAAAAATGAATTGCGCCGGGCGCAAGTAAACGTTTGTTTGAAAAATGGCCCAGAATGGGCTGTTCCAAGATCAGAACGGGTCGTTCTTAAGTTTGAAACGGGCCGTTCTGGAATTGGAACAGTTCGTTCCAAGCTCCGAAATGGGCCGTTCTGGAATTGAAACAGGCCGTTTCGAAGCTTAAACAGTAGTTTTTTCACGCCTGCGCGTGACTGCACCCCAATGTGGGTTAGCTGGAACCCCATGGAAACCCAAAAACAAGAAAAATAAGAACAAGTTATAACGGAAAAGAGAAACAATGAGTGTGAACACCTACTTGAGTTCGGAGTGCTGGGAGGAAAAGAAAAACCCGAGACGTGCCCTTGAAGGAAGAGGGTGAATGGAGATGGTCTTATGGTCGAGGAAGCGTGAGACAGAGAGATGAATGATTGAGAGAAAAGAGATGGGGAGATGAGGTTGAAGAGAGGGCAATATAGGGCAAGCGTGAGAGGAAGAGGGTCCGTGAGAGGTTGAGAGCGTGTGGGGAGAGGAGTTGAGAGAGGTTGGGGTGAGAACGTGAGAAATGGGAAAGTGGGCGCGAGGGTTATGGGGCATCTGAAGGGGAGCGTTGGGCTTGCAATTCCCCACGCCGGGCGCCATATCAGTAGAAGCCCAAGAGTTGCCCTTATCTGGTGTCGCGCCGGGCGCTGCCATTTCGCGCCAGGCTTATCTAGGGTTACAACGTGCAAGCATTCAATGCGCCCGGCTTGGACAGATACGCGCCCGGCGTATTTAAAGCTCAGACCTTCCAGTAGTTAATGCACCCGGCGCCCCAATAAATGCGCTGGGCTTGGTCGTTCCAGGGGCTTTAATGAAGGCTGGGTCAGGCGCAATTTTGGCAGAGGCCAATTTACTCTAGGTGCGCTGGGCGTGGCTATGTCGCGCCCGGCATGATTAACTCTGTGAAGCTTTCACCTAGATTTTCCACTCCTCACACTCTTAACATATTCTAATCTATATTAACCCACTCAAGCAAGATTCACACAATTAATACCTAACACAAAACACATATAATACGATACAACATACATATCACATAACATAAACAATCACAGAACAAGTCCCAATACCCAGTATAAACTACAATTATAACATACTCATAAACAATCAAAGTTAAAAACAACAATTAACTGAAAAACACATAAAACACAGTTCAGATCTCTGGGTTGCCTCCCAGGAAGCGCTTGTTTACTGTCCCGAGCCTGACGGTGACCAACTTGAAGTGCTCTACTCTCCTTCTCCTCCTATTGCTCTTGTTCCCCTTTGCCCTGTGTTCAACCTCATGATTGCTCAACAACGGCTCAGAAGGATTGGTCATTCTAATTTGAACAGTACCTTGCATACAAGAGAAAGCTGAAGACTAGAGTACACAAGTTAGCTTCATCAATTCATTGCTAACAAAAAATAACAAAAACAATAAAGGATTAAATCACAAATAGCTATAAATACTAAATCGCCATTCTAATCCCCGGCAACGGCGCCAAAAACTTGTTGAGATTTCCGTTGAAACACTTTTGTTAATATTTGTAAATTCGTTTAATTCTATCAACGGTCTCAAACACGGCAAGTATACCGGCCGTTCAAGTAGTAAAAATATCGTATCCACAGGGATTAGAAGGTAATATAAGCATTTATTGACTATTCGTGACTAAAGAATAATTCCAATTTCATAGTTTGTGCAGTGAATTCAAAGTTGTGACTATTGGAATGAAAGCTGTAAATAAATATTGTTTTGTGAGTGGAAAAGGTAAGGAATGGTATTGTGGTATTGTGAGGTTGTGGGGGTCAGATTTCACCAAACGTAACACTAATGTATCCTTAATCTCTTGTTGAATTCATTGCTTAGTCAACCCATAAGTTTACTCAAACCTAATCCCTTAGAGAAAGAGCCTAGGTGCGGATATTGAATATCAATCCCTTGAGTACCCAATATCTACACCCGCATTACGGGCTAGGGTTTAAGACTACTAATGGGTCAAGCTCTATCCCTAGATACTATCCCCACTAGGCATATGTTTCAGAACTAGTTTCAATGGTATTTCCCAATACTCAATGGAACCTTAAATCATGCAAAGGGTGATCAATCCAAAGCAAGCATTAAGCTTCGAAACGTACACAACAAAGAATGAAACAACATGTATATATATCATTAAAAACGTAAGGATTACAATAGAGTACGTTGGTTACATCTAACCCCACAAAAATGGATAGAACCACTCAACAATGAGGGTAAATTACAAAATAGAGATGAAGGGAGAAATGAAGAACCGAAGGAAAGACCCACACACGAACGGTCCCAAGCCCTGGGAATCCCTTCCGCAGCTCCTGGAGGCGCCCCTGCGTGAATGAGGAGAAAAGTCCCCGAAAATGCCTTCAAATACGAGCTTGGAGAGTCAGATTAGGGTTTACGCGCCTGGCGTATAAATCGTTGCGCCCGGCGCAGGGCCTTCCACTGAGGTCACGTATTCTCTGCCTCAGAACACGCCCGGTGCAATTCTTTTTGCGCCCGGCGCGCATATTTCTTGCAAAGACGAGGCACTCTGTTCTTCTCAAGCCCGACGCGGGTAATGTTGCGCCCGGCGCAGCCACTCTGCTCTGCTCCCTACTCCTTAGATTTCCAATCCTAAGGGTCTTCAATCCTCAAGTCTCTAGCTCAATACCTGCACAAAAATGAGGTGTAGTAAGGTATTGTTAGCTAAATTATGGGTTAGCTATATCTGCATACAAAATGAATCAAAAAGAGAACAATTATGTTGCAATGGTGCAAAGGATGAGTGGAATTGTTCAATAAATCTTGCCCAAAAAGAAGCATAATTGAGACTTAACAATGTGTGTGTGCTATAATCTCTTCTACTTACCAGTGATTCATTTATATTTTTAATGCATTTACATATTAATTATGCTTATATTTAAAACTTTGATTTAGAACTCGATTGAAAAAAAAATTCTAGATCAAGATTTAAAATGAATCAACTAATGATTTGAATTACTAGAAATAGAACTAAAATCATTAATCTTTAATTTTAATATAAATTTTCCCTTTTAAACATACAAAGAATTAATTTTAACATTAAAATCAACTAATCAAAGTTTTGCTTATTTATATCTTTTTGCAACAATGTTATTCTTACAAATATAAATTTATTTCATTGTCATTTGTTCGAAAATTTTTGTCAATTTTAAATCTTTGATATTTTTTAGTTCTTAATATTACTCTAGTTATTTTAGTGCTGACATAAATAAATAAATGAAAAATATTAGATAAAAAATTCCAAATTAACATATTTAAATTATTTTAAAGCATATAATTTAATTAACTAGTATATTTATTATTTTATAAAAATAATATACTAACATAACATTGAATTTAATAGTCTTCTTATTTTTCAATTCACTAATATAATTTTATTATTATATTTCAAAAATATATTTATTTAGACACTTACAACATATTTTTGTATTAACACATTACTAAAAATTAATCAAAGATAATAACAGGACTCAACAATAATCCTGAGATAAGAGAGAAGCATATTTGTAAGGACTAAGACGACATTTAAGTGTGTTTGTTCTTACGAACCCATTTTTCGTGTCATTTGGTTTTGAACAGTTTCTGGTTTGGCGCTCCAAATCCCGATAAATACATCGTCACTCTCCTTTCTTCATTAAGCCTTCGTCTTTCACCTCCGTACCTCGCGCTTCCTTTCTGCGATACAAAAATGGGTAGAAAACGTGCTTCCAAAACCAACGTCATGGTAACTCAATGCTACTACGATCATCTTTTTCTCTCTCATGAAGATCATCATACATTTTCCCATTTTCTTTCTTGTTTTCGTGTGCCATTTCCATTTCCATTTCCAAAGTTTCTCCGTGCTTCTCTTCACCTTCTTCCTTATCGCTGTATTTATGGGGAATAATAGTTTTTTTTCCTGCTTTATGAGGCTGGCTGCATGCATCAACTTAGGGCTTTGCTTTGGTTAGGGTTTTATTACTTAGAATAGATGGATGAACATTGGTGAAATTGTGTGATTAGGGGGAAAAATGAAAGCTTGCTAAATGTGCATTTGAAATGTGCGTGTGATGTCAAGTTATCGCTTTTGCACCTTTTTACGGGGAAAGGTTGCTTTTTTTTATTTATTATGTTATCGATAATAAATTATTGTATGGTCTAAGATTTTTAAAATTCATTGTTCCGGCTAGTTTCCAATTTAGGGAAAAAAATAGTTAATAAGATTCGGTTAGAGTCACCTGATCAGGATCATGAACACATGGTGGTATCAGACTATACAATAATTTCTCCCTTTTGGAGGCTGTTATTAAGAGTTGTTTTCAGCTTCAGGGTGTTCTTTTAGCTTGCCTTATTTGAATGTGGGTCATGTGTCTATATTTGGATCTGTGTTCTACTCCTGACGTGAATCACAATAAAAGCTTCTATTATTGTTGTTGTTATTATTATTATTATTGCTGATGTGATTTTAACTTCAACGTCTGTATTTTATGTTTTTGGTCCATGAGAATCAAACACGGTAACAAGGATGTTTATAATAACTCACATACTTGCTCAACCAACTGAGTTAGACTCCATTGGTTCAACGTGTGTATTTTATTTGTCCAAGTAAATGATGAGCTAATGGTCATATTTATTTGCTAACTACTGACTTTTGCTTTTGTTGAAGCCTGCTATTGTGGAACCACAGCCTTCTAGGGAAAACGTGCAATTGTCAGGGGCATTAGACTCCCAGCTTGAAATCCCACTTCCTATGGTAATCCCACTGAAGCGTCCAAATTCCTTTTTGGATGGAGTGGAAACTCATCATGAAAAAAGCCCAGCACGGGAGCAGGTGAACCAGGAAAATGGGCATCAAAAGAAGTCTCCTGCATCCTTCTATAGGAAAAAGTCCAAATTCCATGGCGCGACTGTGAGGCGATCAGAACGCATTAAAAGTGCAGTTGTTAGTCCCCCTAATAACAACTATGATATTGAATACATTGAGGATATAAATGTTAGCGAAAATGAGAAAGATGAAGCAGATACTCAAATGCAGCAAGCATTGGTAGAGCCAGAGTTGGAGGTGCCGGAGTCAGAGGCAGAGCCTGAGCAGGCAGAAACTTTTGGTGAGAAGAAGAGCTTGGATGAAAAAGTTGACTTTGTTGTACAAAGAATAGAAGCTCTTGATAAGATTGTAAGACTGTTGAAATCCAAGGTATTTTATGTCTGTCTATAAACTCAAGTCTTGGCTTGATTTTTATTTTCCTTGTGATTATTTTGTGGTTTGTTTCATTGGCTTATATGCTGAACTCATAATAGATAGATGAAAAGTTTGACTTTTATGAAGCTCCATCAATGGCATCTGCAAGTTACAGGAGCATGTACATTGACTCACAGAAGAAGGTTTTTTTTTCCCTTTCCAGTTGAATTTTTTGTATCTTTTAAGCTTATCCTCTTTGTTTTTGTTATGTTATTCATCTATTCTTTTTATGTTGTTTATTGCCTTACATATATATACAGATTGAAGCTTTGACAGATGAAAATCAACGACTAAATGGAAAGCTGGAAAATGCTCTAGGCAAAATTGAAGTGGTATGTTTCATCATTAATGAGGTCCTCCTTCATCTTGATTCTTTTTATAGCATAATGTATTTTTGTTCAATACTACTTAAGGTCCTATATATATGAAATAAATACTTAATTCATCAAAACTAATAAAAGACAGTTAAATTAGTTAATTTTAATTTATAAATTTAAATTTTATTCCAAAAATACTCCTAGAATTAAATAATCGTTTAAGGGAAATGTGAAGGAGTGGAGGTAGTATCATAATCTTAAGTAAAAAGATTGTTTCTCCTTTTCTTTGTCCTCATTGTCTTTGGTTATATATATAACAATATATAAAAGAGATACAATCTTTTTGTGTCCCACTTTTGGAAAGACAATTATATCCCTATTTTATAATCTAATTTTTAGTCTACTAATGTATGTGTTAAGCATGAAATAGGAAAAGGTATGTTTACCAAAAATAAAATAAAAAAACTGCTCATCCATTTAAAAATAGCTACTCACCATTTTTTTTTATGGAGACATGAAGTGTCCTTTTCCTTACTAGTTTGCTAGTTTGTTAATAACATCTTTAAGAAGAAAAAGTATACATGATATTCATTGATTTGAAGAAATATCTTTTTCTATGAGAAGTTATTTAGTGTTTCTTTCATTAACTGTTGCTTTGAGTTTAGGAGCAAGAAACCTTACTTAAGATGAATAAACGTTTCTTAAAATGTTTCTTGTGATTGTCTGTGTTGTATTGCACTGATGTAGTATCTGAACTTGTGAGTATCAAAAGTGTCACCATAAAAGGTATATCTTGAAATTAATTAAACTGTAGTTGTCAATTAGTTGAGCTTTTAGTTAACTTGATGTATCTCTAACTACCCTTGATAAACCTATATTGTAGTACGAAAAAGAGATCCATGTTTTGATTGATGTATTGGATAAAACAAAGGATGCTGTTAATGCTGCTGTGATTTCAAATCTGGCAAAAACTATAGAAGCGGCTGTTAGTGTATCAACTCAAGCAATCCACAATGCGTGTCCTGCTTCCGCAGCTAAGAGAAAGAGAAATGATAGTTGAAGTAGGAAGCTAATGCTGCATAACATGTTTTTTGTATTATAAAAGTAAATTTGAAACTTGATACCTAACGAATGTGGTGCTACTGAACCTGTTTGCATGGATTTCTGTTTCTTATTGTTGTGGTAATTGGAAATTATTTGTGCTTCTCATGTTTCTCTCATTTAACTCATTAAATTCATCCATTTCTCTCAACTTTTTAATGTGTTTTAGATCCTTATAAATATGTTAAGCGATAATGTGATACACGGATTTTTCTGTCATCGTTGGTTAGATGCCTCGTGCTTTTCATGAAGTGAGGTTATTGCTAAATTTGAACCACCTCTCTCGTCCTTTTTTTTTTTTAATAAGTCTAGGTATATGGGTCAAGGCCCATGAATGGTTCGTTTAGTTGCGGCGTGTGTGGATCCACAAACAAGCTTTTTTAAGATGTGTATAGTAAAATTAACTTATAAACTATATGAAAGTTTACAAGTTTGTTGATAATTTAAAAGCTATAAGCTGAAAGTGTTTGGTAAGTTGATGAGCTATCTCACAAATGTAAAATGAGATGTTTATTTATTTAATAATGAGTGAGAGAGTGTGAGGTGGCAAAAGAGTCTTTAAATTATGAGTTTTAAACATTTTTTTTACTTCCAAAAGGTGATTATTATCTCAACAAAATTACATTTTTTTTACTGGTAAAAGATCGCTTTTTTTTTTTCTTTTTTTTCAACTTATATAAGAGTTTAGCATAAATATGGCAAATATTAGATCCAGTTTGTAATAGCTTTTAGTTTATAAAAGCTTCTCAACAGCAAAATCCTAATGTAATGATTTTTTTAAAAAATAATTATGACAAGTTTTATTAAATTTATAGATGTGTGAAATAGTTAAATGAGAAGACTCCTAAATAACTGAGGTATATAAGCAAATTAAATTTATCCAACGATGCTTGCCTTTTGGTATTACTTCTGTGCTTTACGTATTCGAATAAAATAATCAATTAACTAGATTTTATTTGAGCGGTGGTTTTAAAGGGAAAATTTGATCTAACTTATACACCATCAACTAATACGTCTTTCTAAAGAGAAAGAGCTCCATCGACAAACAAGGATTAATGCAGCAAAACATAACAAAGCAAAGTGATAAAAATAGATTTAGAAGCCACTTTGGTAATATCATGTTAGAATATGGGTTCAGAATTAACTTTTTTATTTTATAACTTAATTTAACAAAATTAGTTTGTAAAAAAAGAATTATCTTTCAATTATATACTCTATTTTGAAATTGATATAAGACTCAAGTTTTTTCTTATAATTGCTCCATGTTTTCTTATAAATGCACTAAACTACACGTACATCTATCTTGATTTGTTGAAGGTTAATTGTGAACCGAAAAGCTTCATCCCTTCCTAGACAATAAGGAGTCACAATGGGCTTTTTTTTTTTCTTCCAAAGATTGCAAAAACAAACTCCAATAAACTCCTACATCACTTAACAATTGAAACCGTAGAAATTGTTTATGAAGCACTAACTCCTATGTGAATACTAAATAGGATATAGATATTAAAACACGATTAATGTCCAAATATAATTATGAAAAAAATCTAAGTTAAAAATTAAAATTTATATATTTACTTTCAAAGTTGTTAAGCTGTATTATTTTTACATAATTATGACTTTTATAATTAGGGTTTATGAAGCACTAACTCTCATGTGGATACGAAACACGATATAGATATTAAAACATGATTAATGTCCAAAATATAATTATGACAAAAATCTAAGTTGAAAACTAAAATTTATATATTTATCTTCAAAGTTGTTAAGCTTTATTATTTTTACATAATTATGGCTATTAGAAGGTGAATCATATATCTTAAAAGTTAAAATAACCAATTATTCTTATGAAAATGAGAATCACAAAAAAAAAAAAAATAATAATAATAATTTTATGAGCACCGTAATATTTATAAAATTTACTTATTTATTTTTTTTATAATAGGAATATTGAATAAGTTTTTAGTTAAAAATATGTATCAGCTTACTCTCTTGACTTGTATGTCCAAGTTATGTAAGAGAAGTCTTCAAGTTATGTCAAAGATGTGTCTAACAAAAAAAAAATCATGTTTAATTATGATATGGTGAAAAAGTATCATATGCATATCTGAAATGTGTTTGACAAATGTCATGTTCAAATAGTGTTGAACACATTAACATAATATTCTATAAATGTGTCAATGTTTCATAGGAAATTATTAGGTGGATATATATCACATGCATGTAGTTCTTCTCCTTGTATGTTTCCTTAGCATCCTTGAGCAACTTGAGATGGAGAGGTATTAAATCATAGAGGAAGAGGAAAGTGTTGGTTTTGACATTGGCATGGATGTGTTGCAACTGTGCACATTGCCAAACACTATATTAAGTAGCTCAGATCGCATGGACAGCATGGATGTGTTTAAATGAAATCAATTAACAAAGCAAATGATATACAATCTGTTTCCGGCTGTCAAGTGACTGTTGCAGCTGTTGGCTCTTGGTATTTACAATCTGTTACTTCTTTCCCTTGGTCCATTTTCCATCACTTAGATTATCAGTACTACTTTTAAATCAATCAAAGAAACCCTCAAGCCGAAAAGAGGGAGCATATATATGGTAAATAGTTATATTTACTAGTTAGAGTTTGATTCATAATTCATTATTTCAAGAGTGATTATCACATTATTTCGAGCATAAATAAATAATTATGAACAGTAGTGGGCACCATATTTATATCAGAAAGTAATTTATTTTTGGTGTAAGTGAGGAATATTTGCAGCATCATTACATGGGGTGTTATGATGGTGCCTAATACTTTGGCTTACTCTTCTCCATCATCAAGTGAGGCAGAAAATTTGCAGATATCGTTCCTGGGTGTGTGTGGTTCTCTATTTTCATCATCATCACCATCTTCATCCCTTGTCTCTTCAGCAATTGTTGGCGGCGGAGACGAGAAATCTAAGTACATTCCCTGGATAGCATCCTCATAAGACTCAGAGAGATCCTGAGAGGCAAGTTGGTGGTACTCCACAAGCTGATGAAGGCATTGATTTTCTCTGACCAGGTTTGCATTTTCATTGGCCAGTCTGGACTTCTCAGCAAGAAGTGCTTCCAGCTGAAGCCTCACCTGCAACCACAACATTAGTTTGTGTTATGTATATACATTTAGCAAGAGTTTAATTTCTATGCAACAGTGTACAATTTTAAGTTTCAACCACTAAAAATTAGGACATGTATGACTTTTTAAGATAATTATAGTAAAAATCAATAAATTTACCATAACTTGTAAATTTTCTTTATATATATACTATTTTTTCATTTTCTAATTTTACATGGCAATAAACTTGGTACCATAAAGTACAAAATTCTCTTATACATTCTGTGCATATACTATTTACTCCTTTTCTAATTTATCAAGGCAATGGCATGATTTATATGATAATTCCCTTACCAGATCATCTTCTTCAGGTCTAACTCCTTTTGCAAATCCATCACGAAGTCTCCTGTTCTCCTCTTCAAGCAAACCACACCTCTCTTGCATAAAACATAGATCTGATTTAAGAGACTTCAATTCCCTTGCTAGTGAAGCTGCTTTCGTTGCCATTGAAACTGCAAGCTGTAATGTGCAAATAAATAACAATTAGCTGGAAACTTGAGCAAACCAACTCACTAACAGTTGGTAGAAACAAACACCAACATTTTTTGCTTTCTTCATGTTCCTATCCATCACTTTTTTCCCATCCTCCTTTTGTGAGTCAAGGGCATTTTCTTCAGAGACATCATTGCTATCAAGTTTCCTTTTCATTCCTTGCTTCGACTCCTTCTGTTTCTCTCCCGAATCCTCTTTGTTTTCTACCTTATCGATTTTGCTGTGAAATATGTCAGTTAACGTGGGTGGATTGGCCAATTCTCTGGCACCCTGTGGAAAAATAAACAGCAACAAATTCAATTCAACATCAAGGGGTCGTCATTCAATTGCAGTAATCTTTTCATTAAAATCCACAGGAACGACAAATCATCAATTGTTCTTATATCTATTCATAAGGTTTATTTCGGTAAACTTCTCTAGAATCACTCCTATTTGCCTCTCCAAAATCTTATTTTTTTACTAAATACATAAGCTAGTTTTAGGTATTATCTTAAGAAAAAGCTCATTTGAATTTTCTGATCTATTTCTAGAAAAGTTTATCCAAACAAACCCAAATTGTGATTTGACAGAACAAGTTCCAAATTCATAGTTGTAGACATACATACCTGTAGGGCATTGTCCAAATTGTTAGACAAGAGAGAGAGTGTGTGAGCAACTGAGTCAAACCCTCTCATCAGTAACATAGAATCTTCCTTCAATCGGTTGTTGCCTCGCACAATCTACAGAAATAAAAATAAAAATGCCGTAACTAATTAATTTAGATCTCGGGGAAGTGAATTGAATTCTCATAATTAAAAATGAAAAAGATGGTAACCGTAGGAGGAGAGTGAGTTGAGGTTTTGGGTTGAGAAGCATCAAGAAGCGTGTCGATTCTGCTCCTGAGATTGCTCCAGAAACGTTTATCAGAGGAGGGGCTGAACAGAGGAGAAGAACCCATAGTGCCCTCCTGTCATGACAAAAGCAACACTTGAGAAACAAAACATAACAACAACTAAAAAACATTTTTTAAGGTTAAGAGCGAGGAGAAACCTGGTTATGGTGGAGGCAAAGAGGAGAAGAGGGTGTCTCCAACGAGGTAGCCATGGAAAAGAGAGAGATGAGTAAGGAAGATCGAAGTTAACGGCTAGTTTGAAAAAGGTAATCTGAGGATTTAATTTAAATAGATGAGTTTGAGTATTGAGTATATAGGTAACGTTCGGAAACCAAATTGGAAGCTTGTTTGACTTTTTGACTCCAATGTTAAAGTCTTTCACCTTCCCCACACACTACTTACTGTACATGTTTATTACATTTCCATTTAGATTTACATTATCTATATTAGATTAATCAAGGTATTTAATGATTTAAACAAAGGATACACCAGTGTATTTTTCTATTCTGACTTTCAAATTATTTATATATTTTTTAATTAATTTAATAGATGGATAATTACAAACAAAAGTTATATATTAATATGTATTTATCTCTCTCGCAGTCGAAAAATTTAGTGTGAAAGAGGGTATATACTCTTAATTCACACGCTCAATTGTCTACATTTACCTATTTTAAAAGATAATACATAAATTAATAAATGTATTTAATATTTTTGTATTAAAATTATTTTGATTTTCTAATATGATATTTATTATTATTTCTTTCTCGTTTATAATAAATGTATAAATTATTTAAAAAATAAATAAATAAGATAACTAAAAAAGTTGTGATTAATATTATTTTAAACTTCTCGATACACCGTATCATTACTATTTACTAGGTCTATGGATTCTGGAGAATTTTTAATTAAAATTAACAATATGTATAATTTAATTTTAATTTTTTTAAAAACTTATTTGATTTTTATTTCATTTTTTTTTTCTTTGAAGGAGTTTATCCAAAGATATGATAGTTAGATAATCAAGATAACCGATGTCCTCATTTTTACTATCAATTTTTTTTTCTTTTTCTAACATGCGTATTTTCAACTAAAATTTAATTATGAATCAACCGTTTGAAAATAATCATTCCTGATAATTTTTCATTATCAATAAATTTCAACCGTCATTGGTCATTTGTTTTTTGTGGAAATTGCAATTAATTATAAGTGTTTTCCATAATTTAACATTTTAGTGTGTTTAGTTTATTATTATTATTATTTAAGAGTCTTTTACTAAAACTATAATTGAATAAATCTTTGATGGGCCCTCATTGAGAATTGGATTTGGGCTTGATTTGAACACAAGGGTTGTGCATCGTAGAAATAGCATTAAGTTTGGGCTGACGTAGAAGAGTGCTTAACAATATAATGGCAGGATTAAATGTCTGCCTTCTCCAATAAATAATGATTGGCTCATGATATATACACCTCCTTTTTTTAATAAGTACACCTCCTTTATTTTTTTAAAAAAATTATAAAATATCTGTATTTTTTTCTTCTAATTTTATATCTCCAATTTTTAATCTGTTATTTTTTTTACATATTTTTTTTTCTTTTAGTTTTCACATACATCATTTTGTCTTCTTCTAAATTTTTATTTATTATCGAGAAAATCACACACACCTATAATATTATTGAAAAATAGTTATACATTTTACATGTGTGTGAAAACTAAAAGCAGGAAGAGAGGAGATAAGAGCAAGAAAACTGAAAGAAGATGGGGGAGAGCAATGTAAAACCAAAAGAATTAAAATTATTTATCAAAATAAGTAAAGTGAAGAAAATGTATAAAAAAAAGTACTAAATTAAATGTTGTAAGTGTAAAATTAAAAAATAAAAATAAAAAAAATAAAAAAATTTTAAAATTTTAATTTTTTAATTTTTTTTTTAAAAGAGGTGTACTTATTAGAAAAAAGGAGGTGTATATATCATGAACCATAATGATTACCTACAAGCTAAAGAGATGGGCTTAAATTTTTACATTGCTCTCTATAATTTTTTCTCTATTCAGCACAATTTTTTTCAGAATTATTTTAATTTTTTTATATCTAAAACACTAAAATTAAATTATGTATGATAATTTGTATAATTTTTCTCATACTAACTTCTTTAAAAACTAGCTTTTTTTTAAACTCGTAGAAGTTAATTTTAACTTAATTTTTATTTTTCCTATAAATTTTTATAAAAAAATTATCCAAACTAATCAATTTTATTCTTGACAAACACTTATAACTATGTTAAAGGTTTGTTTAGATAAATTTCTTCATAAATATTTATAGAAATAAAAATAGAAAAAATTGAAATAAACTTATCCACAAATTAAAATTAGCTTATAAATAAGTTAAATATATTTTTAGTTAAATTAATACGAGAGTTTGTACAAATCATCTTTTGCATATTTAAAAGATCGATTACTTATAACAATTGGTATTTTTCTTTAAGAGTTACTTAGAAAAAGATTACCTATAAATTGAATTAAGATACAATATTGACAAATACCAACTAGTAAATGAAACTCTTAAAGAAATATAAGTAATTGTAGACGTTGCTTGTCGAATAAAGTAAGAATGTTGAGTCTTATATTAAGTAGAATGCAAAGATTAATATAATATTTACGTTTCTTATCTAATCAACTATAATATTCTAAGTTGATTTATCCTATTATGCTTATGTGTCATGATACAAAAAACATACCAAAAATATTATAGAAGTTTTTCAATGACTAAATTAAAATTTACGTATTTACTTACTCCTTTCCGAGTATTATATAGTTTGATTTTATTAAACAAGTGACATGAGTGACAATAATTTTAATTAGGTGAATATGACTATTATACGAGATGATATCTATAATTCACAATTCATACACCTAATATCCAATCGTCGGTACCGACAGAATGTTATGTAAGCCTTTTCTCCTTGTCTAAATTATGATGATAACATAATAATTTAAACCAAAAAAAATCCAAGTGTTTGATTTTTCTGCTTTTGGACATTACTAAAATGTGAAATACATAAAATGGAAGGTTGGTTGGAATATTTGATATGGATAACAGAAGGAACCACCTTATGCTTGTAGTTTGAGCACCGACACATTGCCAGCTACATGCCATGCTTCTCCTTCTCTCTTTTATGTGTCAACTGTCAAGTGTCAACAATCAAAACCTCTTCTTGTTGATAGTCTCACATCTGGACATGAATTTATATATATACATTTGTCTATATTGAAAGATAGGTTATTTAGGTGACAAAATCGAAATTAAAATTAAAATTCTCCATTTAACGATTTTAATTTGTTATTTGTGTATATACGTGAATTTGTTACCGTGAAAAGGAAAAATTCCAATCTGAAATTAAATATACCTTCATTCAAATATCTATGCATGATAGGAAAATTACGTTTAAAAAATAAAAGTTTTGCTGTGACGGGTGCAATCTCATGAATAGTCCCGCTCTTGTCTGTTTGCATTTGGCGAAAAATTGTTGCCACTAAATTTATATCCTTCCTAGTTTAACTAGTTATATTTCTCTACTTTGTCTATAATTATTATATTAATTAAATTAAAGATAAAAGTGCAAAACAAAAATCATGTATATTGTGGGTTGATGCAGATGGTTTTTTAATTCAAATTTGTATCATTTATAATATAAATTTGACATTTTACGCTATCATTAAAATCTTACTTTAATAAATATATTTATTTAAGAAGATCTTTTTAATGTCAGAAGTAAAATAAATTTTTTTGATTAATTTCTGCTTATCCTCGATTCAACAAGTAAAGTTTTGGGTTAAATCAGACGTTATCAAGCTTTAATTAATCATTAAATAGACAATAGTTATGAAAATATTATATTTTATCTATTATTTTATATTACAAAAAATTATCTTTGATCAATTTTTACTGATCCTCAATTTGACAAGTAAAATCTTGAACCAAATCAAACATTATTAAATTTTAACAATAATTATGAGAATATAGTATCTTATCTACCATTTTATATTAAAAAAAATATGTTCTCTTATCTACCATTTTTCTTTAAATTAGAAAGGTATACATGATTATGTTGACTTTTTTTTTAAACATATAAGAACAATTTTCGCAAACATATGAAACCTTTTTGACATTATATGAGCCTTTTTTATTTTATGAAAACTAAAAACAAACAATTTTTTTAGTGGATCTAAAGCTTAAATTTTAACCATCCTGTTAATACACTTGTCTATTTTCAATTGCTTATTATTATTTTTATTTTTATTTTCACAGGTTATAAACCAACCACTGATATTGAATATTCAAATCAATTTCTTTATATTTTGAGAGAAAGAATGTAATGAATATTTGTTGTTGAAGGATATATATATGCAATGCGAATGCAACCCTAATTAAAATTAGGAGTTAGCATGTGTAGCTGTGGTTGATGTTTCTGTTGCACCAACTATTGCAGCCAGATTCACATGACACATGATGAGACATAAATACGAGATGAAAGAAAGTTCACATGTCAATATTTGTAACCATAACCATTAACCAAGACACACACATATATATATATAGCCTCTCAAACGAATTCATTAATTCAATAAGCCAAAGTTTAAAATGGAGACATTGGGGAGGGGAGGGAGGACATACCAAATTCAATTTAGCATGCAAGACTACATTATGTATTTACTTTACCACTTCTTCCGTTTTATTTTTTTTTTAAAACCATAAAACTTAATAATATCAAATATTTAGTTATAAGATACAACTAGTTACTATTTATCTGAATAAATGTTAGTTTTCTTTTTTCATTCTATGATAAGTGTATTTATAAATTTTTTACATAAATAAAAAAGTTAATAAATAAATAAAATAATAATTTTATAAAATTAATCTTGTTATTAATGTCTTTATTAAAAATAATGTAATACAACACCTTTTAAAAAATATTATTAAGGAATATAAATTAAAAAGAAGCAATTAATATTATTTTTTGCATAAAAATTAATATTATATTAAAAAATTAACTAAATATAATACTTACTTTTAGACTTATTTCTTCATTTTGCATGACAATTTTTGGTGAAATGGAGAGAATCTTATTATTCACGACCATTATTAATATGAGAATTTTAATAATTTTACTTTTTTTTCAAAAAAAAATTAAACAAAAGAGGGCAAAACGAGGATTAAGGATATCTTCCTAACGTATTTCTCTCTCTCTTTGTGTTTGTTTATTTACACGTTTTATATGAAATAATTGTATTTAAAATAAATATGATTATTATTCACAACAAAACTTTTTTTTATAAATATTTATTGATTATTCTCTTCTAATATATTGAAGAGAATATTTTTTTATGTGAATGTTTAAATAAATAAATTTGAAGAAATTAAAAAAAGAGAGAAGGCTGTCGTTCATATTTTTTTTAACTAGTAATTGTTATGTTTGATTTACTATCTAAACTCCTTAAACTCATGTTTGTCTCAATGAACTCAGTTTACTACTGTGTAATTAATAGTATATTCGATTTCTCTCAATATTATGTTTGCACACCCAAATTTAGCTTGACATCGAGTTTCATTCGAAAGCAATCAATGCTAAGTTTGCCAATTAATTTTAATTTTAGCAATCACTAAATTAGTTGAAATCCTCACCCCTCGTCCATTAATAATAATAAAGTAGTATATAATAAGCATTTATATACTTTTTTTCTCTTGCTTTATTTAACTAAAGAATGGATCATTCTTCCATCCTTATTCTCTTGAAGTAAACAAACTAACAAAGGGTCTATATTTTTTTTCCCTCTCCTCTCTTCTCCATTGAATTTCTCCTTTTCCCTGTCCGTCCCTTGAGCATCTGAAAACTCAATATGGAAACGACCCATTTATATTCTCCTGCCACACAGATAGAAAATATAAAATGATTTGACTATATATTTTAAACATGAACCGAATTTCAATGATTGAACAATTGAAAAATATTAATTAAAAATGTTTGGATCACCTTCTACCAAACAAATTTTTATTATTTAATATGGTTATGATGGGTTCAGCGTTGTCATTTCCAGATCACTAGGTGTCCTCCTCAATTGTATATGGTGGCAAATTCAGAGAAACGGTAGGTCAAGACTCTTCTTAAAAGCAAGGACTATGACTTACAAAATTTTATTTTTTATCAATTATTTTTCAAACATTTACTAAGTGGTGTATTTTTATGATCGATACATCACCACCCATAATTTGAGATTTTAATGGAGAAACAACATCACTTTCTTCCCATGAAAATTTACATTTCAAAATCGTTAGTGTCGTTACCTAAATGGATGTCAAAGGAAAACAGTACTTCGACGTAACACGAAATGTTTTTCTTTTTTTCAAAAAAAAAAACTCGTGATATATATCAAATACAGATGAATCCATCAAACTAAAGAATAAAGAGCGATTGAACAACCACCCAAATGCATGCATATTCGAGACTATTTTCACAAGTAAAGGGAAAAAGAAAATTATATATAAGAAGAAGAATTAGTAGGAGAGAGAAAGTAATATTTTTTTTTTCCATAAGCGCGGTCCAAAGTAGCAAAAAATAAGTTAAGTGCGCAACAAAGAAAAACCAAATATTTTAGTGTGACTCATAAGGGATTCATTGATCATGGTTTCAATGACAATACCATACACGTAGTCCCCACCTTAAGCTACAATCTCTTAAATCTTTATCGTAATTCTTATTACTAATCACTATCTATAATGACTAATGACCCACTAACTATGCCCTATCTTGCGGCGTAATTTATAGTAGATCATGATCTTGACGCCAAAAATAAATAAATAAATAAAAAGGAGAGAGAAAGATTGAAGATTCCTTACGAAATTTCGTTAACTTATCATGTGAATTTATTTTTTCAAAAAAATACAAAATTTATCTAAGATAGATTTGGCAAGGGATGAGAGAAGAGAAAATTTATCAAAATTAAATTCTTAATTTATATTTTTGTAAGAGAATATAAAACCTTTCACGACACAGATACTTTTGTCTGCTATACGCAAACATTAAATTTTGAGAACCTTTGTATTCAAATTCCACTAAAGAATGGGGATAATTCCATACCCATCACAATCAAATAAAATTTGAAAGAAAAATCATATACCTGTAAATAAGTTTTATATTTTGATTGCGGTGCTTTAACAATGGAAAAAAAATCACGTATAAAGTTAGTTTCTTTAATGTGACATGACTACTAGCACATGCTTGTTCCATTCTTCACTGTAGCCATAAAACCCATAAACACCGTTTCTTCTTTTTTGTGTGTGGATCTCATTTAAAGGGCTCATGCTAGCTATTTTATTTATTTTATTTTATTTTATATTTTGTGTCATCTTTATTAAACCAATAATATTTATAAGTTCATGATAAGAAAAAACATGCGTACAAGTTATTTATGCATAACTAATATTATTACTTATTCCTTTTCATAAAGAACAAAGGAGTATCTTTGCAGCAGTTTTATAGATTCAGTGGTCAGTTTTGGCATCCACTTTAGCATTGAACACGATACTGCCATTTTAATCTTGTAACCCTTTATATTTTTTATTTTTGACTTCTTTATCGGAAAAAAAAGAGTAAAAGATGAAGAAAAAAAAATCATTATTTTATTTATTTTTGTTATTATTAAAAAATGGAATAGAGTAAATTTAGTTACGTGAAGTCACAAAATAAAATAAGAAATTTATAAAAGTAAAATACTAAAATCAGAAATTATTCAAAAGGAATTAATTTCATTTTATAAGATTATTTCTTTTAGGAATATAAAATAAGTTTAATAGTTTGGTATTTTTAATTTTAAGTATTTATAATATCGATTAATAAAATAATATTTATTAAATAGGAGTATAATTAAATAAATATGGGTTAAATTTAAAAATTTAAAAATGCTAATTATTTTTAGATTAAAAGAAAAGACTAGAAAGTTAGTAGGAAGAGTATAATTTAAAATAGTAAAAAGAGTTTACAGGAAGATGAATGGTATTGATACATATTTTTGGCATGATATGAAAGAGGTGAAATACATAACAGACGCTATCTATTGAGAAAAGAAGGAAGTTGAGAGATGAATTAAAGGGAAAGGAAGAAATCCTTTATGTGGGAGTTAAAGCAGCAGCAGCAGCAGCAGCTTGTGAAGAACAAGACATCATTGGCAGACACAACACATTATCAACTGTTGCTGTTGCTGTTGGTGTGCACAGAGGATGGTGGATTCCGTGTGGTTGGGGAGACAGACATGATTTATCCGTGTTCACAACACTACTGTTTCCCTGCCTCACCCTTATGTACAACAACAACCACAACGCTATCCCTTAGTACTTCTTAATTTTGTGAGTTTCACATCTTTCTCACCACTTGCATTGCTCTTGCAGGATAGGTTGTTTTTTCTTTTCTTTTTCTTTTGTGGGGAGTTTGTTATTTCTTTTTCTTTTTTTTTTAAAAAAAACTTTGTTTCTGGTTGATTTTGTTGGTTAGGCTAAGTGATCTTCTGTTCTTCCTTCTTTCTTTCTATGTCTCTCTCTTTGGTTTTCTGGGGGTGGATTGTGTGGGGTGTGTTTAGCTGACACAACCCAAAAGTTTTGTCTTTATTGCGAAATTTGCGGCAATCTTTGCGCTCTAACTTCTGGGGTGGCGGGGTGGAAGTAAAGTTGGTCACTTTGAGATCTGGATGGGGCTCATATGCAGAGACAACAGCAATGAGAAAATTGGGTATGTGTTTTTCTCTTGTTGGTGAGTGGGATAATTGTTAATTTTTGTTGGGAGGTCGTACTTTAGGGAAACAGAAAATTTGTTTGAGTGGATTGGAGTGGAGTTCTTGATTTTGGTTCGTGGTTTGGGACAAGGGGACTCGAGATCTAGGTAATATCACGGTTTTAGGGTGCTCATGCTGGATACCCGATTAAGGGGGTTGTTCAGATCTAACCAAAAATGAAGTTATCTTTCATCACTGAGATTATAGGATTAGAAATTTTATACTTGTACCTCAGATCAGAGAGATGTGGGAAATAACTTCTATTTAGAGTTTCACGTGACTTGGTGATATTTCGTTTGTTCTAACCACTTGTTATTAAACAGCTTAAGCTTTTTAACATGGAGACTGTTAACATGTTCTTCCAAAAGTGCTTTAAAAAGTGAATTTCAATTAGGAATATCCTACTGATATTTGTCCATTTCCGTTTCAGTTTGGATATGGGGAGTCTTGCTCTTGAAACTGAGGATGTGAGCTCAGATATATACCTTTCCCTGGGGCTTAAGGAATCAGATAAAGGTGTTGGAGTTCCTCGAGTTTTGACACTCCTCTCTTCACTTCTCGAGAGATTAGTTCAGAGAAATGAAACGCTATTGGAGGCAAAGCACATGGAAGATGTTCTTACAGTATTTCACGGTTTAAGAGCTCCTACCTTGAGTGTTCGAAAGTATATTGATCGTATCTTCAAGTACTCAGGTTGTAGCCCTTCCTGCTTTGTTGTGGCACACATATATGTGGATAGATATATTCAGCACACAGAAATCAATTTGACTTCACTCAATGTTCACCGGCTTCTGATAACAAGCATTATGCTAGCAGCAAAGTTTATGGATGACGCGTAAGTGCAAGTTTTGATTTGAAAAAACTCATGTAACATCTCACTGTTGTTGTCTGGGTTATGTATCTCTGGTGGATATGTTGATGCTATTTGTAAAACTTATCTATTTTGTGGGGCATATATGGTGACAGTTAATAATAGAACTGGTTTAGTTATAACAATAACAACCTTACCAGTGTTGCATTATGCTGAATCAATGATATATTTGACAAAAGGATGATTTAAAGGAAATGATATAGTTTCTCATACTTTTACCATTTTGAGTAGCTGTCATTATCTATATATTTTTTTTTATTCAGCTGAAGCTGTTTTCCTATTTGTTTTGCAGATTCTACAACAATGCTTACTATGCAAAAGTTGGAGGAGTAAGCACATCTGAATTAAACAGGTTGGAGATGAGCTTTCTGTTTGGTATAGATTTTAGACTTCAGGTTAGTATAGACACGTTTGGAAGATATTGTAGGCAATTGGAGAAGGAAGCCACGGAAGCAGTCCAAATCGAAAGGCCAATGCAGGCGTGTCGAATTAAAGAAAGTTGGTCAAACAAAGATGATCCTACATGTGCTTCCACAATTGCAAGATGAAAATGTGCCAGCATCATTGTAATATTGCTGTTCCACAAGTAAACGAGAAAATGAAATTTGAAGTGTTTCAAAGAAGAAAAAAAGAGAGAAAAGATTGTTGTATACTCCCCATTGGAAATTCAACCATTTTTTTTTACGGATTGTAGTGATTGGTGGTGCTTTCTTTGTAGTTTTATTCTGTTTTTTGTTTTGTCTCCCGTTTGTAATTGCAAGCTTGTAACCGGATAGAGATTGTGATGAAATTTTATCACTTACAATTCGTTCTAGTACCTGTTATTATGGTCTTACCCAAACATGGGATAGAATAAAATCTATATAGAGTCTATTTAAAATACAAATTAGAAGTATTTTTAAAAAAATTTCTATTAATTTTTTTTTAGTAGAGAAAGTCTTAAAAGTTTTTCAAACTTGTAAACAGATTTGTAAATAACTTATTGATGACACAAAACTGTTAATAAGTGGCACTTTCTCAGAATCTCAAAATCCAAAGACAGTATATATATCATTCATATAGACATTCCAACTTGTTATCCTCTTTTCCCCCATCTCAAGCTTCTTATGCAGCTAAAAGGTCACGGTATGCTTTTATTCTTTTCTCGAGGTTTAAACAAAGAATCATCAAATATAAAAATGTGGGTGGCTTAAAGTATCCGCTTAAGAATGAAAATGAACAATAGACAATTAGATTCCCATTGCATCCAAGTCCAATAACATTCATCCGATTCATCATCTAAAACCATAGTCTCACATCTTACTTAAAAGGTGTATAATTAGTGTCAGTTTATCAATCTTAAATCCATCATCAGTACTATGATCCACTGAAGGAGAAATTCTTGCCGTAACAATGATCAAAGGAGACATCACCCCATAGTTGTGGCAAGATCAGGTAGTACAAGTAACTTCCTCTATTGAATCGTCTTACCATCTTATTTATGCGGATCAATCATGTTTATCTGTTTTAACAATGAGTTAAAAGTTAAAAGACCATCCGAAAGTGCAACAAGCATCAGCCCTAATTTTAAGAAACATCTCACTATAACAATTAAATATATACTACATATGCATGATGCATATGAACTCCCATTCCATGGCACACACTAGTTGTATAAAGACACAGAGATGCATGAGACCAAATTACATGGCAATAACAGGAAGCGTCCATGGCTTCAAATCCTTTGTTTCGTGTGCCTCAAGTCCGAAGGTTTTGTCTTGTGGGAACATTCACTTTTCTCTTCCATAATGCCATTCATAATCACAATATCCACATTCATCTAACACCATGTGGAGTTGTCTTCTGCAGTCAGTTCCAGGAGCACTCTAGCATAATTTTCGCTTCAAGCTTTGCAGAATTCTGCTTTTAAAACCAAATATTTGCATTCACCTAGGAGGCCTCTCCAGTGCAGTCCAACCAAACTTACCTTTTCTAAAATCTGCTAGGACACGGAATGCTGCTTGATGAACATCTCCATTAAATAGTTGAACAGAAAGCTTCTCTATGAATCTGCAATTTAGTAAACAAAATACATGATAACAAATTAAGAAAATACTACTTAAAAATATGAAGAGACATTAGAACTTCTGACCTCTAAATGCAAGACACATAAATTAATGCAACAAAAGAATTTTATAAAAAGAGCACATACATTTTACCACATTGATTATCTACATCAATCTTGTATCGTTTACAAAGAGCATCTCTCCCTGCATTCAACAACAACCGAGTATTATGAATCTGAAGAGGGGGAAGGGAGATCAAACAATGTAATGTCAACCCCAACCCAGACTACTTCATAAACTACAAAACACATGTTGGAAAAACAAAATGCGTCATGCAAAATGCCAGCAAAATTTTTGACATTGATATCCTAAACAAGGTACCATGAAAAAGAAACCCACCCATTCTCAGGTCTAACACTTTTTCTTAACCAAAATATGATGCCACTTTGGCTGCATGTCATGACACATACCTACTATGGGAAGTTTTGTGAGCATCTGCACAAGAACTGCAGCAACATCGGTCACATCATAGGACCTCTCTCCAATGTCATCACATATGGCAAGTTTTATAGCAGCTGACTGATCACTGATTCGCATCGGGAGTATCCCAGGAGAATCCAGCAGTTCAAGATCTTTCCCGAAACGAACCCACCTTTCACATTAAGGAGGAAATGAGACAAATTACATATTCAGTATGTGTCATGAGAGATCCTGCGATCCACTACTATTTCTTGTTTGAGCTTAGACTTAGTCGGAGCAAATTAATTGTGATATAATTTTGCAGGAAACTGTTTTTGACACTAGTAGCACTTGAACAGAATGTGGCAACATAAACACTTTCCTCTATTGAGAGCAATATAATAATTTTCAACATTTGGGATATAAATCTTTCTGATGAAATTCAGGAGACAGGTTGAATCCATTAGATTTGAAGCCCATTCAAATATTTGTCATTTTAGTTGTCACAGGGGGTTTCCTATGACATCATTGGCGTATTCAGAATCAAGAACAGACAAAGTACAATCTTAAAAGTACTGACATTAGTTCAAGTAACAAGTTAAACATAATACAAATAAATTTATGAACAAATAAATTAAAAAAAAAAACTGCTTCCATTTATTACATAGTTTCAATTTCTCAAAAAAAGAATATTTAGCGAAAAAATGAATAACCTACTTCAATTCTCTTGTGACTCCTGGTCTGGGAGCTGCTGGGCACATTCTTCGCTTTAATAAACGGTTAATCAAAGATGATTTCCCAACATTAGGGTATCCAACTATTCCAGCTCGAACCTATTAAACAGTAATTTACATGTGAATGACAACAATTTGCAATCAATTAAAGGACAAGCTTTGCTCCACATAGATTCACGACTTAAGATCTATCTCTATAGTAAATATATTGCACTGAAATTAATAAAGAAAAGATTGGAATAAAATTACGAACCAAAAGACAAAGACGCAAGAATAATTTACATAAGCTCCAACATTAGCTTAGCCATAGAAACTCAATTATATCCATTAAAAAGGGAGTAAAAGTGTGTAAACTAGTAGATAACCTGATAATGCACCTTTTTTTTGGTAAAGAAATACAAGATGAATGCTAGAGAAAAATTGCACAAATCAATTAGCTAAATATTTTTGTTATATCATTTACTGAATAACTTTCATTGTAGATGAAAATTACTCAAAAGAACCAGCAAAACTTTATATTACTATAAAATTTACTGAAAGCTTTTTAAAATTACTGGACTAAGGAGTTGTGAGAAACAGAGTTGTGACTTGGGAAAACGAGAAGGTATTCAGCTCTCTCTTTCTATAGCAAAACATATTTTCCTTATTCTTTTGAGATGGCAAAGTAGCCCTTTAAGTTACTAGATAGAAACAGAGTTGCAAAACACCGGTATGCACACAGTTATTTCTTTCTATGATAAAAGATATGTTTCCTTATTCTTTGAGATAGAGAAGTAGGCTTATTACCGGAGAATTAGCAAAAGGAAATGAACAACAGAGTATATAAGATGGGTTTGCAATTGTTAGGAGCAACCCACCGCACGAGGAAGTAATCCTTTGGCTCTACGCTTAACATTTACATCTGCTGCTAATTCCTTAGCTAACCGTCCTAGCTTCATCGTGCCCTGTGTGCTAACAACATATGATCAGATATCCTGTACACGAAACTTCAGCTATAGGAGGAAAAAAAACTTGTTTCAATACCATTCCAAGCTGCCCATTGGAAAAGACAACCTTTGTGCCATTCCTAGCAAAATAATCTGCCCAAGCATTGCGGTCTGCAGTTGATATCATGTCTTCTCTATTTAAAACCAAAATTCTCTTTCTATTTCCAAGCCATAGATCCATCTACAAAAGCAGAAGTAACATGAGACGAAGACTTGGAATGTATTATCCTAGGACCTAAGGCCTTAAAATTGTACTGGCATGTAGGATCTTAATAATACTTTGTGTCCCAATATGAAGTGTTATGTGACATTCATAAAAAGTTTTAACATTGGCACAAAGAATAACTATTATTCATAAAACAAAGAAACCATTCAAAATGACTGTAATATTTTATGATAAAAATTACCTATTAAATAAAGAAGCCAAGACCAAAATAGTGAACTGCAAGAAACAAGTACATATTTTTTCTACCAAACCCAAGATGAAAAACAAAATCCCCTGAGGCTTTAAATAATAGGAAGAGGAGTGGGGAAAACCAAAAAAAGTCCAATCTAATGTCAATTATAGCTAGTTTGGATAAATTTCTCACCAAGTACTCATAACAAAAGAAAATAAAATGAATCAATTTATACACGTCAACTTCTTCATGAACTCACTCGTTAACTTTTCTTAAAGTTGAAGTGTATAATTTGATTTCAACTTATGCAAGTGGTTTAATTCATTTTAACTCCTCAATTCATTTCATTTTCTACTTCTAAAAGCGTGTGTAAAGAAATCTATCCAAATTGTCTCTCAGTTCAAGATAACAACGGGTGCGGAGGATAAAAGCAAAACACAAACATCACAACAAAGAAAGAACTTGCCTGTGGATGACTTGTGGACATAGGAATTCGTCCATCCCGCACCTCTATCACAACATCCATCAACTTGAGCTGCTCCTTCAGTTCTTTTTCAGCTTTTGCTATATGACCAGGAAACCACTGCCCCGTATCCCACAAGAATCAGCATCCCGAATTTTGCAATAACACAAACAACATTACGTGCCTTTTAGACAAACTTGTTCAGAAATACTTTTAGAAGAAAAAAACACGAAAGAAAATTGAAATAAGCTTATCTATAAGCTTAAACTAACTCGTGCATAAAGTAAAAAATAAGATTTTTGAGAAACTTACTAGAGAGAACTTCATAAGTTAGTTAAGTATAAACTAATTTTAGCTTTTAGAAAAACTTGTTTTATTTTTTCTTCTTATTTTTCTCTGTTAAAAGTGCTTGGGAGAAATTTACTCAAATAGGACCTACATAGTTGAGATTGAGGGGAAGCACACAAATAAATACCTCACCTGCACAGGGCGTAATGGCTTTGTCCAGTGATAAAGATCAGAGTCAAGGTCACTCCAATGATCACTCTCTCCTTGGCACTCATATCCGTTATCCCTCCAACTAGGGCCTCTCACACCAATTATCTGCATCACAAAAATTGAATATTTGAAACAGCACCACGTAACAAATAACAAACCCCACTACGTGAAATCTCGTGGCGTGAAAGTGTATTGAGAAAAAATGAAAACTTGAATGAAAAGTGGAGAAGGGTTACCTGAATGGTGGGGGATTGGGGTGAGATAGCTGATGGGGTGAATCTGCAACGGTTGGGAATGAAGTGTGTGGGTATTGGTGGAGAATTGGGGACCCATAAGCTTGATAATTGAACACTCATCACTGTGCTATGCTACTACTCACTCTTCCTTCTTTGTTTTTCTGTTGGGTTTCAATTTTCAACCACGCTGCTCTTTGCGATAATTCTTTGGGATCTCTTGAGAGTAAATAGTCTATCCACATGAATATTTGTGTTCTGTTGTTTAATTACAAATTATCTTGTATAATAAAAAACTAAAGTCATGCGAAGTAAAAAGTTTTGGCGGATTAACAGCGTACACAATAAAAGGAAACTGGTCTCTTTTTTTTTTATCTTACTAAAATCTTTCAGACTGGATTTTCTTCATGTAAGTAAAACACTTATTTCATTAGCTTGACTGAGCCAAAAATAATATGTGGATCGGGTAAAATTCTTATAGCCAAGAAAAAAAAATCGCATAAAATCATTTAATATTTAATTTTAAATTATTTAAGAATATTTGGTAATATATATAAAAAGAATGGTGTCTTTGTATTGTTTTTTTAGGGTTTAGGGTAGTTAGTTCTACTTTTTTTAAGATGAAGTTCCATTTTTATAAAAGAAAAGTGAAGTTAACAACACGTTTCTCTTAATACACCGTTAAAAAGAGAAAAGACGATGATTAAATAGAATGTGAAATTTGCTAAATTTTATATTTTTTAATAAATGTCAAATAATAAGAAAGTAAATTTAAAGGACTGTGAAGTATCTTGTTAGCATTTATCAAGAAGAAATTATATAGTAAATTGTTTGTTTGTCCTTGAAAACTTTAATTAACATGGTTGTGCAGTTGAATTCTTTAAATGTTATTGCTTTATATATATATATATAATATTTTAGTGTATTTTTAAATAAATATATTACGTCAATTTTATTTTATAAAAATAAAGTATCAAATCATCTTGGATTAATATAAAATTTTGTATGTATGATCTAAGAAATATGAACTTTTAATCTAACGGTTAGATTTACAAAATTTACATTTAATATAAAGTTATAGAGCAGTGTAATATTTAAAAAAAATTACACCCGTGTAATTATAATCCCTTTATATATATATATATATATGGGTAATTTAGGCATGGTGAGTCAACATTAATAGCATGCTCAATTACATTGCTTTATTTATTTTATTTTTTTAACATTTGACATGAAAGTTTTTTCTAATAACTTTTTTTTCCTTTGGTCATTTACGGCATTTTGAGACCAAGCACCACGTAAAATAATCATTATGTATCTTTCCGATCAATGGTTGAACTAATTGCATTTGGTGTGTTTATATCATGTTAATCTCCCTTTCTAAGGCATATTGAACGAAAATTTTATTCTTACATCTCATTATTGTTGAACGGTACATAATGGAAATTCAAAGACAACCCTTACTCTAGTCAATACAAATTAAGTTAACGATTGAGTAGAGAAATCACTAACACTTCGTTTAGTTGCACTGAAATGAAAAGGAATTAAATTGACAGAAAATATCAACTCAACCTTGATCTATTGGGCTAGGTTGGTTGACTGTAAATTAATTTCGGTCTATCTGGTTAAGCTAAACTTGTAGGAGTAAGCTAGGTGAGTTACATTTCCTACTAACACTTGTTCTTTGACCTCTTTTTTTTTTCTTTAAAAAAACAATTAAAAATTTACTTTATTATTATTGTCATTGTGGAGGGTGGAATTTGATCGTACATTAAATGAGTGGCGACTGGCGAGTGTAGGGAATGAAATGTGTAGAACGATCAAAATCATAAACACCTAATTCAGTTATAAGTTCATTCACTAACAAAAAAGGGGAGAAGGGGGTCGAAATGAAGCACGTGCTTGCATAAACTTGAAAACTTCATCATGCACGACACATTATGATAAGTCAAAAACTTACTTAAGAATCATAAATGAGTTTAATAAACTTAACAGAGCAAGTACTTTTATATAAAATAAGCTTCATAGAACTTCAGATGCACGAGAATCAACAATTAAACACCAAAACTAGCTAGCACAAAAGTCAAACAATCTTGTATTGACTGAGACAGATACATGAAAAATAGTAATTTAATTTTCAAGTAAAAGTATACGAGTTTTCACTTGAAAAAAAAAGAGTCATGTTTTAATTCCCCAACCAGATAAGCTAACAAAGCATGACCTGCGGTTCTATAATTAAAACATTTAGAGTTTTCATCTTTCCTCCTGTCATGGTTAAAATCTATGGTTCCTCGAGTCAGCTGGATGACACTTGACAAGTACAGTTGAGAAATACATACGTATTTCAGGTATCATACGATCAACCAGAGGACAATACCTGCATATTCAAAAGAGGAGAACATAAAATATTATGGAATGATCGATGAAAATTTGGGTTTCATGGATTGAATGTACTCCATCAACCACCAGCCACCCAGATAAAACTGAAAGTATTGTTCAGGTTGTAGAAAGTGTAACATACCATGGTTTGTATCTCAGATTATGAAATTTCTTCAGGATAAACAGCATGCATGCACGCTTTATTGCAGTTGCATTGAAAGCCTCTGACATGTTGTACAGTATTGAAACATTTTCCACAGAAATACCCTATAAGAATAAGTTGATGAGCCCAGAGATTAAATTAAGCCATTAAAAAAAACGTCTTACGAAAGCAAAAGAAATAAAAACAACCCTGAAACATAGTTTTGGCCTACCTTAACAATAGCACGTTCACAAATTCGCTTAAGACCGCCCAGTAGATACTGATCTGCAGCTCCGAGGAGGTCCTGAGCAATATCAAAACAGACATCTACTTTTCCAGTGTATAAAAACCTAACGTGCCAACAGAATATCAGTTTATACCAGCATGTTACGATATTATAAAAATACAAACAAGGGATAGCAGAAAATGCACCTCATCAGCAATTCAAAGACATCCCATTTGATGTTCGGAATCACTATTTGTTTGGCTTGACTTTCCTGCACCACACATCTCAAGACATTACTATGGATATTTAAGCTTAACAACTTAAGTTCCCCAGATTTATTTGTGCTATTTTAATTGCAAAATGAACAAGAGTTAAAATTTTTCATAATATCGGTCCATAAATGTGAATGAACCAGCAATCACGGTAGTTTGTATTTGAATATTTACAAAGGAGATGTAGTTACAGCTAATATACAACCTTTTATACATAGAATAATTGTGGAAAAAGAACGGAATAACATTTTTTAATTGGAAGACCATGTCACTATAAATAAAAAAGAGGATTAGAAAACAAAAATAGTATATAAGATTAATTAATGCTTACCCTATAACTGCCATCAAGCATTGCACGAAATATATCAGAAGAAAGTAAACAATCTCTATGAGCATAAAAGCATCTACCTGAAGAAAGGAAAACCTAGTAAATTAGTACAAATATTGAAATCAATACGAATACACAACTAACCAAAGATAAAAGTAGCAGATGTTCCACCTTCAACCAGGAATGTGACATTAGAAAGATTAGGATTGTTTACATATTCCGCGCCCCAGTACATCTACAGCAAATGCAGCCAACAAAAAATATTATTGTGAACAAAAAATATGAAAAAATTTCAGCTTTCCATTTTCATCCCCTTAACATGTAGACAGCAAAATATCAGCAATTCAACTTCAAAGACTACAAGTTCTATACTAATGTAAATAATGCAAAAAAGCAAATTGTGCAATAAAGAAGGCAAATCAAAATAACCGAAAGTGATAAGCCAACACATAAAGAGAAAAAATACCTGGGGAGTTGGTGATGGAGGATAAGTGTCAAAAAGATAGGCAGAAAAGCTGGCTTTGACAGCCAAGTTGTGAAGTGCCGCTGAAGCCTCACCCTTCTGCTTTACATCCGGAGATTCAAGAAGACCCAGCAGTAATTCCAATCCTGAATATTTACCAGCATATAGATTGAAAATACTTTCAAAGTACGTGAACAAGAAAGTACAAAAAAGTACAGATAATTTATTACCATTATTGTCAATGAATATAGTTTTACGATCATGAGGACCGCATAAATAAGCAAGAGCAAAAGCTACATTTCTTTGAACCCATTTTTCCGCAAAGCGCATAAGATATATTAGGTGTTTCAATACCTGCCAAAGAGGAACAGATATAAAATCATATCCAATAATGTAAAAACATGGACAAAAATAATTTAAATAATTCTTATCTATGACTAAACTAAATCACCCTCATAGAATTTGCAAGAAAACTCACTCGGCCTTGTGTCTTCTCCAATCTTTTTAATGTCTTTGCTACAAACCCTCTAGTAGACTGCAAGTTAAACAACAATCACATTAAGCAAATTATCGTTGAGGAAAATTTAATAAATTTGAGAAAGGAGTTCTGCAGCAACAAGACTACAACTTGAGACATTGTATAAGCTATCCATAGCCCCCTTCTACTGGGCCGATTATAATGAGTTATTATCTGGTTTAATGTGAGTGATACTATTCTAAAATAGTACTCTAGTATTATACTATTATTAATTATTAATACAATAAATTTACGTGTAGTTATATATCTTTAAAATGTTATTTAGGAAATTTTCAAAATTACAAAAACAGATTCTAATGAGTTATTTATCTGGCTTAATGTGAGTGATACTATTCCAAAATAGTAGACTAGTATTATACTATTGTTAATTATTAATATAATAAATTACGTGTAGTTATATACTTTAAAAATGTTATTTAGGAAATTTTCAAAATTAAAAATACTTAAATCATATTTAAAATCATCTTATATTATAAAATAAATAAAATATTACTTATAAAAGTTTAGTGAACATCAATAACAACTAAATTATCATTGAGAAGGAATGCAAGTATGTTAAATGCAAACCTATTACTTTTATTACTGAGTAAATGAACATACGTGAACTTTGAAAATTCCAGCCTTCAGCTTTTGAAAACCACCAGCCTTGATAATATCTGCAACGATATCCTATCATACAAAGTTGTTACATCAGTGGCAGCATATCACATTATCACTGTGCAATCACATCAATGATTTCTAGAGTAGATAACTTCACCTCATTAAAGATAAAGAACAAGGAAATAACTTCACCTCATTAACAGCAAGAGTATAGAGAGCAAAAGCAGCAACATGTTGGAGGCGTGCGCTATCTGAGAGAAGATTGAGCAGAGCCTCTATACCTCCATTATGAGCAATACCAACTTGATTATGTGAGTCCTAAAATTTGAATTATCCGTGCAAAACAAAGTTATGGAAGAAAGTGGTACAAACAAATACCAACACATAAAATAACTGAAACATCGGAGCATAATTTGCACCATTTGTTGCCATTTATATAAATAAATTGAGAAAAATCTACCCAATTAGAGTTAGGTTTAAGAAAAGTAGCCCCAAATTCAACCAACAATACTTAGTCTGGCATTAGAGAAATTCTTAAGGAGGCATTGCCCACCATGGGCTCCCCATTTATTAGAATTGATGTATAGAATGTTTCTATGAATTGTGTAATGCTCACACACAAACTGATTTATTTTATAATCAAGAGAAAACACTAACTAGGTAGAAAAATTACGGAAATATAGCCTAATTTAAACAAGGAAATAGCTCCCGCATTAAACAGTGGAGGTAGAGGAGGATTTTGATCAAAAGCCATAGAGCTAGGGTTAAGAATCAAACCATGTTGTGGATAGCATAATAGAATTGATGAACAGAGAAACTAAAGTATTTCATTGAATGAGAAAATTAAAAAAAAAAGTTTAATAACAGAAAAAAAGGAATAGCTATTCATAATAGCTGCTCAAAGATAACTACAACTTAAGTAACTAACTAGGAGTTAGTTACAGAGAGACAGTTGTCACCTAAATTAAAAGAAAAGGAAATACCGAGTAAAGTATACTCTAATACCATTCAACATTAACCACATATAAGACTGTGTGAGCTAAATTATAAACACATCCATAAATATTAATTTTGGATAGCAATGTATAGTGGCTAACTCCAAAAATGTAGCAGGAAGCGAGATGACTGTTATAATCACCTGTGCCAACCTCCCAAGTGCAAAAGCTGACATTTCCTGAACTTTTGCATATGGAGACTTAAGCAAGTCAACTAATGGCGGAATAGCCCCTCTTTGGGCAATATGAACCTGCATGAACCATAAAGAACAGAAGTCAATAAGAGAGTTTCATAACTAACTGATTTATCATATTACAAGTTTGCAAAACAACTTAATCCACCTTGCAATCTGAATCTGCTGAAGCAAACTGACCAAGTAAAAGGGCTGCTTCTCTTTGGCTCTTTGAACAGCAGGAACTATCATTCAAATTATGAACTTGCAAAGATTACTTAGGGGAGAAAAGTACTATAATAATATGGGTTTAGTAACTCACTTTCAGCAAACAGCTATAATGTTCACTAATATCATTCTTCTATGGATTGCTTACAGAAATGACCAAGACCAAAGTATGATTTTACCTAAGTAATCGAATAATAGGTTGTAAAGCCCCAGCTAGAAGAACATGTTTCTTAATATTTGGTGAAGAGTGGACCAGATTTCCAATCACACTTACCTACAAAAAGCGCTTATTCAGCAAGTGCTAGTAATTTAGAACTCTGAAAGCAGCAAACTAAAAAATACATTGGATTGTTTAAAGTCATAGAAGCATCTTACTGCCTCGTTATGTATTTTACGATCCTCTGATTGAAGCATTAGTACAAGAGCGGGTAATGCATTGCATTCAACCATCTGCAATTTTTTTATTCTTGTAAACAACCATAACAAAAGATATCTATTACACCAATTTATTGCAGAAATCCATCAACCTGATTTTTATTGTTATCATTATTAAATGCAAGAGTTCGCAAGGCCCCAGCAGCTGCTCTCTGTACCTCTGTGTCATTGAATTCAAGCAATTCAACAAGAGGAGCAATACCACCTTCCATCCTGAAAATACCATATCTATATAAGCATAAAGAATACAATAGTTGTAGAGTATATATTTGTAAAGGTTTGGGAAAAAGAGAAAAACCTGACAAGGGTCTTAATGCCAGAATTTCGAAGGGCAAGGCTCGTTATAGCATCAGCTACTCTCTTTAAAACATCACTGAGCAGTTGAGAAATGGTACTGATCTTGTGCCTCCTTAACAAATCTATAAGACAGGGCAAGGCTCCAGCTTCTATAATTAGTTGCTGATGCGTTGGCTGTTTCATTATTAAGATAAGCAAAAATAAAATCGGAGTTAAATGTTAAGATGCTTCATGATTTATAAAAATATGAAATAAAAGAAAGAGAAATGGGTTCAAAAAAAACAAAATCATTTTCCTGGAAACAGGGGCCACACTGTCATACAACTAAAAAATAAAACAAAATGCACATAGAGATTCAATATTGTTATTACATGTATACAGTATGATCATTGTACATAATACAACACACCCACATTCTTTACAACATGCATTTGTAATGACAGCAGCTCCTTGGGCAGGTGAATAATAAACAATTCAGAGGAACCTTAGTGCTCTGCACCTATCAAGTACGATGGGGCAAGACATATGAGCAATGCCAATTCATTCTCCCCTTATATATTCAATAGCCAACAGCTGAAAACTAAATGTTGATATTAATTGACAAGTCATTCTAGAAAATTTTTGTCACTAAAAGTGTAACCTTTCCTTGTTAAAACATTTTAAAACCAAGAATAACTTCTATTATTCACTTTGTTAGAAACAAACAAGTCCTTTTTTCTTTAGCACAGAAACAATAATGACACTAGAACATCTAAATGTTAGAAATAACAAAGTTTGTCACATATATCAACAACTAAAATAAGAGAAAATTCTATTCTAGAAATAATGCTAAGTCAATCCTATCAGCAGCCAATGAATGAAGATCCGGCCGATAATCCTATTGGCCTTTCCACATTGTTTCTTAGATGATTTAGTGCAATAACTGTGACAACACAGTACATAGCTATGTTGCATCTGACATGTAATTAAAAATACCGACAAATAAGTATTCTATTATCCAAATGCAACTCATTTTATAGAATACAGATTAAGATAATTCAAAAATCCCAACTTTTATGGAGGTACCAAAGCCAAAGAATCAAAGCTCCATTCATTTTCCATAAAATTGTCCCTACCCCAATAGCAAACCCCAAAATACGTAGCATAATCAATCTGACATATTCTGAAAAAACACCTGACAAATAGACAATACAACATTACTCACTATAAGTTTCAATCAAATCAGAGTAGAAAGTTTCAGGATAAACTAGAGAAAATTGTGAACATAAGCAAATGTTTTACAGTTAATAATTTCCATTGATAGCAAAAAAAAATGGGGATGACAATGGTTAGGATACTCAGTCAAGAAAAACACACGTGTGCACCTATGCAGGTAACACTTTTAAGTGTCCACAATTATACCTAATCTGTACTTTTACATCCAAGCTCAATTTTTTAAACCATATCCTAGTTCAGTAAATATATTTCTTCAACACACTTTTTTGTAATTCAATTGGGGAAATAGATCAGGTTATTAGTTCCTAATATTATTTAGGGTTTTTAATTTCATAGTTAGAGTTTTCTAATTTGCAGGTAAGTTTCCACATCTACTCACATGCACACCTGTCTATGGTAATTCACCAGACTTAAAGATTACAATTTCATATAATTAAGATATTTAGAGACAAAGAAACCGTAGAACTTAATTACTTGAATGGCAAGAAGCCCAAGGATGAATGCACATCCTTTCGCCATCTCAAGCCAGTAATATTCGGTAACACCACCAACATCATCTTTCACAGCATCTGGCACTTGAAGATGCCTCACCAGAGCAGGGACAGCGCTTCTGTTCACTATAGTATCCACAACCACTAGGTCCTCTGTTAGAAATAGGCATGGACCAAACGGAAAAGGAAATTCAGTAATAGCACAAAAACAAAAAATCTAAAGTGGTTATCGAGATAAAAAGGTACTCTTTTTGGCGAGTTTGGAAAGGACGAAAACGGCGCTCTTAACATTGGCACAATCCGAGGCAGAGAGTGAGAGTGCAGAATTGAGGAGAGAAACTTGTTGTAGAATCATAGCAGAAAAAATTGGGTCACATTGTTGGGGAGTTTGGTCTTCAGCTAAGTCTTGTTCGACATTGTGCTTGGCGGCAGGGAGACGAATTTCCATGGAATTTGGGGGAGGGTTAGGGTAAAAATACAACAAAATAACTAGTTGTTTGGGATTGGAGAGAGAACAAAAAATGAATAGTGAAGGTATCACTCTTATATATGATTGCATTCGGTCCACCTTAGTAACGATGGCACGTGGCATGTCAAGGGTCATGTAATATGCTGTCCTGCCACATAGATTCCATGTCAACCAGGACTAAAATGAATAATTTAAACTCTTCTTCGACCACACCAGAGCTTCCAAGAAGACCACCAACTCTCCCACCCTTTCTTTGCCAACCAAACTCCTCCTCACTCTTACACTCAAACGGCACCTCCAAAGCTTCCGCCAATCAGCAACCCTTTTGCAGCACAAAGACAGAAAAAGAAAACACATCATGTCCAAAGGCAAAGAACAAATTTCAGCGGCACTATACATCAAGTTTTTTTCTTGCAGTAAACGGAAACACCATGAAAATAACCAGATGAGATTCATTCCATTAAAGATTATCAACATATGGTTAAAATTCTTTTTATTAAGAGTAACTGAAGAACAATCAAGAATACATAGGCATGTGTGGTTTTATAAAAACAAATGCAGCAAATCTAACAACATCAAACTAAAGAACACCTTATGGAACTTCAATTTTCAATACACAACCAAATCAGGCATTTTACCTTTCCCGGAGTTTGTCTGGCCACCCAACTAGAGCCTCAAGAGACCATTGTTATCTAAAAGTCTGTATAGATAAAATTCTCCAGAAAAAAAAATTAATTAGGGAAATTGAAATAAGTTTCTCTAAAAAATATAAACTTAGTATAGAAATAAATAAAATAATTATAAAAAAATGGAGCACCCACCCCTATTTATTATGTGAAATTCACATAGAAAAACAAATTGTCATTTTCTATTAGAAATTGTTATAAGAGCTAAAACTGATTTATACATAATTAAAATCTTTTGGAGAAGCTAATAGGAAATGGTTTCTTATTTCATTTTTTCTTCTTAATTTTGTCTCCTAGAAATACTTCTAGAAAATTTTACCTGAACAAACTCTATGTTGTTAGGAGAGTATCTTGTACTCTGGTTCCCCCAAACATCACTCCTCCTCATACCCGCCTTGGCCTGAAATGATGCACATTGTGAGGATCAACACAGTTAAATCTCTTAGAAATCAAACGAAAAGCATTGTGAAAAATCCTGTCAACTCCAACAACACCCTCTGTTCCTGTTCCTAGTCTATGAGAAATTGACTAAAACAAAGACAACCAATTAAAGCTAGCTACTTTTGAACCTGAATCGAAATACCCATGTCGGCAAACCCTCGCTGAAAATTGGAGTTTGAGGCACAACGCTTGAACCACACGAGCGCAATCCAAATACCCATATCGGGAAACATAGGTTATTAGAAGCGGTGGTGGTGGTGGTGGTGCCGCCACAAGCGATTGTGATGAGGCAGAGAGAGAGAGAGATAGTCCTTTTGTGAAGTGATTGGTTTAGGGATTGAAGGAGTGAGTGCAGGTTGTGGCACATGCGAGTGGTCTTCATGGCGGCACTGGTGTAGTTCAAAACGAAGAGGTTGAAGAAAAAGGAAACAATGTTTGTTTGGATGCACTCTCATCCACTTTGATCATGCTTTAATCATAGTAATACAGTCATCAACACACACTTTCATCCTTTCACAAAAAAAAAAAAAAACACACACACACACTTTCATATACCTCAAAAAATAAGATAACTGACACCCTCAAAAAATAGGATAACTGACCTTAAAATTTAACGCGACTGCATATATAAGGCAGGATTCGAATTTTTAACCTTACTTAAACTTGGATCAATCTCTACCACTACTTTCTTCCACTTTTATTAAATGAGATACAAAATCATAAATAAATAAATAAACTTTTATATTTTTATCTCATTTAATAAGGTTTTTTTTTTCATTATACGGTGGTATCAAAAGTTTGTGATTTCAATCGATAATAAAAAAGATATAAGAGAGTATGGCAAACATTTCTCTTCATCAATATTGGAAGGAAAAAAAAATTGCAATAAAAGGTGTTGGTATGGTTTATTGTTTTGAAAATAACATTTATTCAGGTAGGTATTAGGTTTAATTAAATTTTTAGTACATCAAATTTATATTATATTTTTTAAATTTAAAATTTAGATTTTTGGTCTTAAAAATATTAAAAGAAAAACATAAATCCTCTAAATAATAATTTTTTATATTTTGAAGATTAAAAACTTAAATTTTAAACTTGAGAGACAAATAAAAAATATAAACTCTAAATATGAAGAACTAAAAATATATTTAAATATAATTATTATCATACTGTTTTTGTTCTTTAAAAAAAGTTTTATTATGATAAAAATATTTTTTCTTTGTTTTTTATTTAATTTAATACAAGTAAATATTTATTTTTCAAATAATATATAAATATTCTTAAAACTTCGGGATAAACTAAATAATCTTCAATCAATCATAAAAATCATAATTTTAGGACATGCAAAAAATTTTCTTCTATCAAATGTTCCTCAAGTATAATTTTAATGCGTGAAAAACACATAATATGATGTGCTAACTTAGACCTAAAAATTCACGTTGTATATTTGCAACCAAGCACACATTATACAACACTTTGGGGGTACAATTGTTATACATTAAAGTACAAAAAAAACAAAACAAGACAGAGGCTTAAATTACTGGATAATTTTTTATTTCATGCATCTTTTGGTAGATATTCAACCACACAAATAAAAATTGTTACATTTATTATAATATATTTTTTAATATTAATAATTATAATGAATTATTATTATCTTATTAGAGATGATAATAGTGAGAAATTTAATGACAACAATAATATTAGCAGTAGTGATAATTGTGACAAGTACAATAATAATTACAATAATAATGAAAGGGTAATAATGGGTTACGACAAGTTGTAATTGTAAGTTACAGCAGCGATAGTAATTGGCGACCATAGTAATAGCCAACGACAATGATAGTATTGGGTATGATATTAAAAGGTAAGATGATGTTAGTTCAATATGTGAATATTTTTGTATTTAAGACAAAAAAGTGTTCCAAAATTTATTAAGTAATAAAAAAATGGACTTTTGTCTAATTATTCTTTATCTTTTTTATCTTGTTCGTAACTCTTTTCTAAATCAAAAGCGGAACAAATATATTTGTTATGCCCAATACTAATATTTTTAGAGAATCAAACATATCTTTAGATTTTGTTTAGTTTAAAGGTGGGAAGAGAAGAGAAGGAAATGTCAAAAACTATGTTTAGTTAAAAGGAGAGGGAAAGAATTTTTAATTTAAAGAAAGTGATGTAGCTCTTTTTGTGTTTGGTCCACAAAGGATGAGAAAGAATTTAAAAATTAACTTATATTTATATTCTTATGATTTTAAATATTAGGTTTCTCCTGAATGCTTATTATACTTAATACAAAATCGTGTCTTCAATTTTTACAACACTTTTATTCGAATTGTGCATGTCTCACATATATATGTTGTGCAAGAGATATTAAATATCTTAGCTAATAACATAAGGAACTTAATTTTATTATAACTTTTTCATAATTTTATAATTTTTAATTTAAGGATGGAAAATTCTCTTAAAATTATGACTTAAGTCCTTATACATTTAATTATTTTAACCTCTCTTTATCCAATCACTAAGCTAACTCTAGTGATTAGATCTAGGATTTAAATATAATTATAAACTATCAAATTAATTATATAATTACAATATCAAAAAAAAAAAAAGATTTTATACAAAGAAAATTAATCATTGACTGTTCTTATAAATTAAAATTCATCGTAATTTACTGCATTATTTTATTTTCATTTATTGTTAAACAATTTTAAATTCTCAAAAAATTATCTTATTTAATACTATAATTATATTAAACAATTATAAATTTAAGTCTCTTTAGATTTGATAACTTAGATATTTATTTAATTTATGACAATCGATATATTTGTCCCTTGTGTTTTATTTTTTTATTTTTTTAGAAATTGCTATTCATGTTACTCTTTATGGAGAGAGTAAAAACAACTTGGTTAAAAGAGTGACCTAATTGATCCGATTAAAGATGAAGTGCGAAACAAAGAGAGAATGGTATGAAAATAAAGGTGAAAGAAAAAGAAGACGGTAGCAAATCATTTTGTTTGTGGTCTCTAAGGCTTGGACAATTGTACCACATCTCTCTATAAGTTGCATTTGGATTCCAATTCATTTGTTGACCCTCTTCTAGATTCCTTATATTATATTCAATGTCAATCTTGAAGCAATTATTGGTTACTGCCAACAATTTATATGCCCAGATAAACATGCAACTAAGTAATCTCTCTTCAGTTAAAAGCTCCAGTGACTCTCGAGCTTAGATTCCATTTTTAATAAACTGGGGACTACTAATTTGTTCTTGTTAAAAAAAAAAGCCCAATTGTTTGACAACTTTAAGATAACTAGTTTATGAATCTGGCTGGGGATATTGACTTTTGCTTAGGTGTACCCCAAAAAGGCCAAAATTAATGCCCAGCTTTCAATGGTAGTTCCTTCAAAGAAATGACCATCAGGAGGGTTTCGTTGGCGTGAAGAGGCCATGAACTGTGTCATAAACTATAATTTGGAGTTTTAGTAGGATTAAGAATAATGAGAACTACACTAAATCACAAGGATGTTAGATATTATAATTTTCGCTATCTATCAATCTCTATTAAGAGGGTTCAAGAACATGTCTTTATTTCTTGAAATCTTCTTAACCTCGGCTTCCTTTTTTAGTATCATTGATGGTGTAGCTATTCTTGTATTTTTTGCCCTTTAATTAAAGAATTAACTTGCCAACGCTAGACCCAACTTGCATTTTCACTTCGTTTTAAGTATTTTTGACAATTCCCATATTTAAAAGCGTGTTTGTATATGCAGTGTCCCACTTTTCAATAGCGTTGAAAGTGAAAGAACACGTTAAATTAGCATTAAACAGGATTTTCTAACGAATTTGCAGACACACTAATAGGTCATGTATGCCTTAAATTTTTACAATTTGATTCATGCCACCGTACAATTATTTCTTCAAATAGATTGGTCAGTAGCATGGTAAATTAAGATAGTACTATGTCAATGATATACTAGTACAACAAAAAATTACCATAAAAAACTTCCAAACGTCTACCTCAATTCTAAAGTCATTCACTAATAAAAAAGACAAGAAAAATGATGAGAAAAAATTATATCTTCTTATAAATAAATAGATAAAGATGAGAAAGAATCAGAGAAGCACCCAGGGCTTTTATTCTTTTTGACACAGTAAATTAAGTTAAGAACTTACATAAGAACGCTAATTTAATAAACTTAACAGATGAAGTAAGTACTTTTATATAATGAAATAAGATTTCTAGAACTTCTCAATACATAAGCATCAATAATTAAAGACCAAAACCAACATTCCCTTCCGCAAATGACCAAAATGAGTATTCCCCCACCAAATAAGCATCAATAATTAAGGTGTAAAGGTATCCACCTTTCATTACTCAAACAAAATGAGTATTCCCCCACCAAATAAGCTAACAAAGAATGACCAGCAGCTGCCTATATCTAACTATAACATTTACAGCTTTGTACATTTCCACATTCCTTTCTGTCATGGTTAAAATCTTGAGAGCCTCACAAGCCAGCTGGATGAGACTTGACAAGTAAAGTCGAGAAGAACTTGTGTATGTCTGGTATAATGCAACGAACCAGGGGACAATACCTGCATATTTGAAAAAGATGGAGTAAAATGTGATCAAATGATTGATGAATTGTTGGGTTTCATGGATTAATGCTCCCAGTCCATCATCAAACCCTAAGATAAACAAGGTGAACTGTGAAACTAATGTTCTCTTGTAAAAAAAAATAAAAATGTAACATACCATGGTTTGGAGCTCAGATCATCGTATTTTTCCAGCATAAACAGTATACATGAATGTTTTAATGCAGTAGCATTGAAATCATCTGACATATTGTACAGTGCTGAAACATTTTCCTCAGAAAGTTCCTATAAAAATAATTTGATGAGCCATGAGATTAAATTTAGATATTAAAAAAGCTTTCCACAAAAGCAAGAGATAAAAACAACCCTGACACACAATCTTTGGTCTACCTGAGCAATAGCATATTCACAAATACGCTTAAGACCGTCCAGTAGATACTGATCTGCAGCTTTGAGGAGGTCCTGAGCAATATCCAAATTGACATCAACTGTTCCTGTGTATAAAAACCTGCAAGTATCAAAAGAATATCACTTTATAGACGGTGTTGTGATTCAGGAATTGTGTATATTGTTGTACACATATCAATCTTATTTATAAAGTAAATACAATAAATGATAGAGATACTAATTTCTAATATTATAAAAACTAATCTAATCATATCCCTAATTGATAGTGGATAATAACAATAATATATGTATCCACAATATTTGTAATATATTCATAATATCTGTAACACTTCCCCTCAAGCTGGAGCATATATATCATATGCACCAAGCTTGTTACAAATGTAATCAACCCGAGGCCCTTTAAGCAATTTTGTGAACACATCTGCTAACTGGTCACTGGAGGTGATTGGAGGCAGCAATCGGAAGCGGCAACCGGAGGCGGCTGTCGGAGTGGGGGACCAGAAGTGGCAATTAGAGTCGAAGGCGGCTATCGAAAGCGACAGTCGGAGTCGACGACCGGAAGCGGCGGTCCCAATTGGAGTCAACGGCCACCTGAAGCGGCAATCGAAGTCGGCAACTGAAAGTGGCGGTTGGAGGCAGTGACCGAAGGCAGCTATCAAAAGCAGCGATCGAAGTAGGCGACCAGAAGCGGCGGTCGAAGTGGGCGACCACCGGAGGCAGCTATCAAAAGTGGCGAGGCAGCGACCACCGGCGCAGCAGTCAACAGTTGATGACCAAAGGTAGCGGTTGACAGCACAGCAATCGGAGGCAGCAGCCGCCGTGACAGCCAGAGGTGGCAGCGAGGGCCTTTGCAAGAAGAGAGAAAAATATATTCTAAAAAAAAACCTAAGTTATGATACCATCTTAGAATATTGAATTAAACCTAACTCAACTTTACAAAACCAGCTTGTAAGATAAGGGTTATTTTCCACTAATATATTATTCAATTACTTAATATCTAATCGATGTGAGACTTGGATTTTTTCCAATACACCCCCTCACGTCCAGTACTATTGGACTTGGTACGTGAATAAATGGTGGGTGGGCCTTTGTAATGATCTAGGATTGATGAGACTTAAGTTTTTTTTTTTTCAATACACCCTCTCATGCCTATGGTGCATATACCAATGGTAGATGACCCATTTTTAAGAATCTAAGATAGCTCTGATACCATGTGATTCAGGAATTGTGTGTATTGTTATATACATACCAATCTTATTTATAGGGTGAATACAATAAATGATAGAAATATTAATCTCTAATATTATAAAAACTAATCTAATCATATCTCTAATTAATAATAAAGATAATAACCATAATATATGTATCCACAATATCTATAATAGACGACATGACATTATGAAAGTACAAAAAGGAATAATAGCAGAAAATGCACCTCATCATCGATTCAAAGACATCCCATTTAATATTCGGAATAACTATATGTCTCTCTTTCGTTTCCTGCACCACACAGCACAAGACATTATTATGGATATTTACCCTAAAGCTTAAGCTCCACAGATTCCATTGACTCATTTTAATTGTAACTTGTAAGATGATTGATAAACATGCAAACTTTACATAATGTCAGCAGATCAATTTAAAGATACCATGTTAATGGACCAGCAATCACAGTAGTTTCTATTTGTATGTTTACAAAGGAGAGGTAGTTACAACTAATGTAAGACCTTTACAGATAAAATAACTGTTGAGAAAGAAATGATGAAGAATTTTGATTGGTATACCATGTCACAATAAATAAAAAGAATAGAGTTGTGAGAAAAGGTACACAAAACAATTAATTAATGCTTACCCTATATCCGCCATCAAACATTGCACGAAATATATCTGAAGAAAGCAAACAGCCTCTATGAGCATAAAAACTTTTGCCTGAAGAAAGGAAAACACAGTAAATTAGTAATAATATTGAAACCGGTATACATACAAACAACTAACCAAAATAATAGCAGCGGAAAAATTTAGCACAGATGGCATCACCTTCAACCAGGAATGTGACATCAGAAAGTTTAGGATTGTTTACAAATTCCTCGCCCAAGTACATCTACAAAAAATGCAAGCAACGATAAATATTGTAAACAAAAAATGTGGCAAAATCTCAGCTTTCCACTGCATCTTAAATATAGGCAGAAAATTTTCAGCAATTCAATTTCAGAGATAACAAGTACTATTCTGATTTTAAAAATGCAATTATGACAACATAGAACAAATGGTTCAATAATTAAGGGGAAAAAATAAACTAATGTGATAAGCCCACACCTAGAAAGCAAAAATACCTGGGGAGTTGGTGGAGGAGCAGCGTCAAAATGAGAAACAGAAGAACTGGCTTTGTCAGCCAATTTGTGGAGAGCCACCGAAGCTTCAGCCTTCTGCTCTACGTTTGAGGATTTAAGAATATCCAGTAGCAATGTCAAACCTGAATATTTAGAAGCAAATTGAGTCAAAATACATTCCAAGTACAGAAAGTATGTACAAAAATGTACAGAACATTTATTTTACCATTATTGTCAATGAATATAGTTTTAAGGTCATGAGGAGAACATAAATAAGCAAGGGCAATAGCTACAAGTCTTTGAACAGCTTCTTCCGCAAAGCGCATAAGATGTATCAGGTGTTTCAATACCTGCCAAGGAAAAATAGATATGAAAATCAAACCAAATAATGAAAAAATGCATGAAAAACGCAAATTTCAAACAGATTATAATTCTCATCTATGACTAAACTAAATCACGCGCATAGAATTTGCAAGAAAACTCACTCGCCCATACGTCTTCTCCTGTAATCTGATTAACGTCTTCGCCACACACTCTTTAGTTTGCTACAAATTAAACGACAATCACAAGGGAACACACTTAATAAATTGGTGAAAAAAGGAGTTCTGTTAGTGAACATTAATAACAAGTAACAACTAAATTATCATTGAAGAGGAATGCAATTATGTTCAATACAAATTTATTACTTTTACTACAAAGAGTAAATGCACATACTTGAGCTTTGAATAATCCAGTCTTCAGTTTTTGAAGAGCACCAGCCTTGATAATATCTACAACGATGTCCTATTATACAAAGTCATTATATCAGTGGCAGCATATCACAGTATCATTGCGCATCAATGATTTCCAAAGGGAAGAATACAATGTTGACCAAATAAGGAACAAGGAAATTAACTTCACCTCGTTATCAGCAAGACCATATAGAGCAAAAGCAGCATTATGTTGGAGGGGCACATTACTTGAACCAAGAAGTTTGAGCAGGGGCTCTATACCTCCATTATGAGCAATACCAGCTTGATTATGCGAGTCCTAACATTTGAATTATATAAGCAAAAAAGAGGTTAACAAAACGATGAGAAAAAACTCAACACATAAAACTGCTGAAACGAGGGGTCATAACTTTTTGCACCATTCGTTGCAATATATATAAATACTAGCGAAAAAAAAAGGCATCAGGTACCTAATTAATATTGAACAGACTATGTGAGTCACAAAATGAATGTAGAACATGGAGTTTATTAAGAAGCAAAATGATTTTGGATGAATAATTTTTATTTAAATTAATAAAATTCAATTATTGAATTATCCTACACTAAAAGAAAAATGTATAATCACCATAAAAAAAGAGCAACTTAAAAACTATGTACATTAAAAGATTATAACAGCTTTATTTATTGTAATAGATAAAAGAAATACCAATTTGTGTAACTTACTTTTAATATCCACTAAATGAGATCATTGTATCTATATAATTATAACAAACTATTCAATCTCTAAAGAGAAATCACTCATCTGATTACTGTTATTTTTATGTTTATTTATTTTTATTTTTATTTTACACCTATCTGTATTATTTTTTAAATAAATATTTAAAGAACGAAATATTTCTTCCCTTGTATAAATTAAGAAAATTCATCGAGGAGCTCAATTTATGAAAGGCTACCACAAAATCAGTAAAAAATACTTGGTGTATGCTAGAGAAATTCTTAAGGGAGCAGCGCAGATTGAGTGTCATTCCTTATAGCGAGATAACCGCTATTTTAAATATTATAATATAAAATATATAATTTATAATTTATACTAGACATGTAAATACTCAAAACAACAACAAAAAATTAAAAGAAATTCATGATAAATATGTCACAGTTTTACACAGTCACCATCAATCTAGGAGCAATAAGAATATGGTAATAGAGTAAAAAAATGAAAGATGATGGTGAAATTAATGGAAAAAGAACATAACATATTAGAGAACAAATTTTTGACAGCAAGATTAGAGAACAAATTAGGAGAATGTAAAATGGAAGAAAAAAATACCGACCACAAAATATAAAATAGTCCCATAATATGAAGAAATGGAAGTCTGAACAGAGGTAATATTTTGTGGTAGATTTCACCCAAACGAAAACCCCAATCCCATACAATGACATTACAGGGGCAAAAAGGGTTTTTGAACCTTATATCATGGTAGTGATTCTAATTTATCGCACGAAAAGACTAGCTGCCGCTATTGAAAACTAGTCCGCTAGTTGAATCCCATAGCAACCTAGGACACTTCACACTGCTATCCCGCCCTAACGCGCTATTGAATATCTAACGGATGGCTTTAAACGAAGCAATTGTTAAATAGAGACTGATAATTGATAGGCAGTGTGTACTCAGCAACTTCTTACAATTATGGCCTAATTAATAGTATTAACTTTGAGCTGGAGATTATTTGACAATCCTAAACCAGGCTGATCAGTTAGACACTCAGTGTTGGAAGCAAATGAAAACTCATTCTTTCCATAAGGCACAAAAATGTCCTAGAGATCAGATTAAAGAAATATTACAAATTTTTCAAAAAATCCTTCCTTAAAATTTTACAGACGGAAACTTGAAAACATCTTCAAAAGTCTTGGTTAATAAAACTTAAAAACTCTTTCTCACAACTTTTATAGGTAAATTTTTGAAACCTTTAACACAATTTTAAGGTAAAACTTGATGAACTCTTGTTCAATGACCTCTCTTTCATTTAGAACAATAAACCCTCTATTAACTAAGTGATTTTATTCATCTCAATTGTGCTTAATTATTGACTTAACATTTTAATTTCAAAAGAGAAAATAAATTCCTAAAGTAATATTTATTCTTGGAATATTGTTTGTTGCTGATATAAACCAAAGGCTAGATGTTTGTTGCTGGTAATAATCACCTGTGCCAACCTCCCAAGTGCAAAAGATGACATTTCCCGAAGCTCAGCATCTGGAGACTTAAGCATGCTAACTAATGGTGGAATAGCACCTCTTTGGGCAATATGGACCTGCATAGCCCACAAAGTATGGAAGTCAACTAGAGGATTTCATAACTAACTAACTTATCATATTACTGGTTTATAAAATAAAACTTCATTCACCTTGCAATCTGAATCTGCTGTGGCAAACTGTCCAAGTAAAAGGGCTGCTTCTCTTTGGCTATCCGGACAAGAGGAACTATCATTGAAATTATGAACTTGCAAAGATTACTTAGGGTTGAACCAAAATAATGAACAAGAGGAACTATCATTGAAATTATGAACTTGCGAAAAAAAAAATCTACGGATTGCATACAGGAAAAACCAAGACTGAAGTGTGATGTTACCTAAGTGAACAAATAACAGGTTGCAAAGCACCAGCAAGAAGAACTTCTTTCTTAATACTTGGTGAAGAGTGGACAAGATTTCCAATGACACCAACCTACAAAAAGCGCTAATTCAGCTAGTACTGGTATACAAGCAGCAAACTGAAAGATACATTGGGTTGTAGTCATATAAGCTCTTTACCGCCTCAGAACGTATTTTAAGATCCTCTGATTGAAGCATTAGTACAAGAGTGGGTAATGCATTGCATTGAACAATCTGCATTTTTTAAATCATATAAACAACCATAACAGAATCTATAACACCAATTTACTTCAGAAAGTCACTTACCTGATTTTTATTGCCATCATTATTAAAAGCAATAGTTCGCAAGGCCCGTGCAGCTGCTCTCTGTACCTTTATGTCATTGAATTCAAGCAATTCAACAAGAGGAGGTATTCCTCCTTCCATCCTGAATATACCGTATCCATATAAGTAAAAAGAATACTATAGTTGTGGAATATAATTTTTTGAAGGTATGGAAAAAAGAGAAAAACCTGACAAGGGCCTTGATGCCATTATTTTCATGTGCAAGGCTGGTTATTGCACCTGCTACTCTCCTTAGAAGATCAATAAGTGGTTGACAAATGGCACTGATCTTGTGCCTCCTTAACAAATCTACAAGACATGGCAAGGCTCCAGCTTCTATAATATGTTGCTGATATTCTGTCTGTAAAATAAAATAAGAGTTAAGATGCTTCTTGAAGTATAAAACTCTGAAACAAATCAAAAACAGAGAGAGGAAATGATTAAAAAACAAAACCATTTTCCTGGAAACAAGGGGCCACACTGTTACACTACTAAAAAGTACCGAATGGAATGCATATAGAGATTCAATACTGTTATTACTATGGTTGATATAATTCACCCGATACACCCACATTCCTCACACATGCATCTGTAATGGGCTAATGTCAGCTGCCCCCATAGAAGATTAATAATAAAAACTCGGAGGAACCTTATGTGCTCTACACTTTTCAAGAACAATGGGCATGATAAATGAGTAATTCCAATGCATTCACCCTTATTCAATGACTAACAGTTAAAAATTAAGCATTGATATTAATTGATAAGTCATTCTAGAAAATTATTATCACTAAAGGTGTAGTCCATCCTAATTAAAACATTTTAAAACCAATAATAACTTCTAGTACTCACTAAAACATTTTCTTTAGCACAAACACTAATAACAACTAAATGCTGGAAGTAACAGTTTCTGTCACATTTCAATAACTAAAATAAGAGAAGATTCTATTCCACAAATAATCCTTAAGTCAATCATAACAGCACCCATTGAATGAAGATCTAGTCTATAAATCCATAATCCAATTTACCCTTTTGTACTGTTTCAGAGATAATTTCAAACAATAACTGTGACAATATAGTAGTATATAGCCATATTCCATCTGACATGGAATTAAAAATATTAACAAACAAGTATTCTATGATTCTATTATCCAAATCCAGTTCCTTTACACAACACAGATCTACATAATTCCAAAATCTCAACTTCTATAGAGGTAGCAAAGTTAAATAATCAAAGACCCGTTCATTTTCTACAAAGTGACCCCTCTCCCTCATGCCACACCCCACTAGCAAAGCCAAAAATCAAATGACACATTCAATCGGACATATTCTGAGAAAGCATACCACATGCAGACAGTATACTTCATTAAACAGTTTAAATCTAAATAACCACAGAAAATTTTAGGCCAATTTGATGAATATGATTTACTAATATTCATTTAGGTTTTAAAATCTGCACATGCACAACCACCTAATGACATTTGATTATTAAATATACAGCCACCAACACAGCTACAATTTCATATAATTAAAACAATACAAAACTTAATTACCTCAGTTGCAAGAAGCTCGAGCACGAGCGCACATTGTTTCGCCACCTCAAAATGGTAGCACACATTGTCTCCTTCATCTTTCCATGCATCCGGCACTTGAAGATGCCGGACCAGAGCAGGAACGGCGCCACAATTCACTATCGTTTTCACCAGACGCTCTGTGAGATAGAAGCCAAATCAGAAATTCAGCAACAACACAAAATACAAAAATCAAAGAAATCAGACAGCAACACGAAATAGTACCGTTCTCAGCGAGTTCAGAGAGAATGGTGACAGAATCTTTAATCAATGCACAATCAAACGCAGAGGGAGAGGGTAAGGGAACGCAACTGAGGAGAGAAACGTGTTCACGAATCGTCACAGAAATATTCGGGTGGCGTTGTTGAGAAGCGAAGTGCCGGGCCTTAGAACACGTTTGATCTTCCCGTTCGAGCTTGCGCTTTAGGTTTCGCTTTGCCGCGGCGGGGTGACGGTTTTCCATGGAATTTGCGGAGGAGATAAATAAAATTAAGCGGCGGTTGATTAGGTCTGAGAGAAGGAAGATTCAGAACTTTGAAGAGAAGAGGGGTAAAACTTGAAACTTCTCTTATATGCTGATATTTGGCGCTAAAAGTTTTTTATTTTTTAACCCACCAGATTTTTTAAATTTTTGTTTCGGCGGGAATCGGTTACTTCTTTTCGTTTTGCCTCTATTTTTTTAATAATGATTTGAATTCAAAGCAAGTCAAAATTAAAGAAAAAAATTAAATAATAAAAAAATATATTTCTTAGAAAAAATAAAATGGGTAATTTTATTTTAACATAAATTCAAAAGATAATTTTATTTTAAATTATTGTATATAATTTTTCATTTTTAAAAATTTATTAATAAATTTAAATGTTTTAAAAAAATTAATATCACAATTTAAATTATTAATTATAAAATTAAAATATAATTAAAATTTATAATAAATAAAATATTTTAAAATTAGAAGATCATTAAATTAAACTAGATACTAATTTAATCGTGATTGGAATTAATATCTATAAAATAATATATAAACTCGTATTAAAAATATTATATCATAATTTAATAGTATTAAAAAAATATTAACTTTTATGATATTAACATTAAGCTTTCAAACTAATAATAAAATTATATATTTTTATTTAAATTAATTGATAGTGTTGATATATATTATAATATATAATTATAATAATTAAGAAATTTATAGCCGATTGAATTTGTATGATTTAAAGATTCAATAATATATATTTTATTTTAAATTAACTTATAGCAATACCATATATTGTATTGTTTAAACTTTTTATAAATTGCATGATCATAAAATAATTTATTATATTTTGTGCATGCATAAATAGTAGTATGAATTTATTGTCTTGTTGTATTTTTTTTTTTGTGTGAAAGAGGAAAAAATAAAGAAAATAAAAAATAATAGATGAAAATTAATTTAATTCAGTATAACTAATTAGTTTTTAATAAATATTAAGACATTTTAAGTTATTTTTTAGTGTTTTAAATATTTTTTTTGCGCGCTTAAGCACAAATGTGCTCACTTATCAAAATTTGTGTGTATTAGTATGTGCATTGTGTCTTTTTTAGAGTGTCCATGTATTGATAGTGTTAACATGTCTTCTTTAAAATATTTTTTCTTATAAGAACGTTTTGTTTATTAACATTAAAATTATGAATTCAATGATGTAAGATCGTCTATTAAGTCCTCTAAGTATTTATGTTATTGATGAATTTGCTTAGTGTATTTAGAACACCAATTAAAGTAAATTTAAAATTGATTTAAAATGATTCTCAAAAGGTGACTTGGAAACAACATGACATGAATATCATAATGTAGTTTTAGAATGTAAAACTCGTAAGCGTGTATAATGGACATCTCAATTGTGCAGTGAAGCTCATCTATGTGATATATTGAGTTATAGGAATTAATTTAAAGAGATCTTGGTGGCTATGAAGATCCCGAAGAAGTATGAACATTCTTTGTTAGTCAACTGTTGATATTAATTGCAGAATACAATTGTTGTATCTTGCACATGACTTGAGTTGTAGATATGATCTTGAGGCAAACTTTATGAACATGAAAAGATAAAAGAATTGTCTACAACTTTGTTGAAGAAGTCATGGGCTAATAAGGTCTCTATCATTAACAAAATTATGTTTGCAATATGGGAATAATGATCTATCCAGAACAACAAGATGATGCTATTGTAATGTTTTGAAAATAATTTGTGCTATAGAACTTCAAGTAGCATGAAACTAGTTGTTAACCATTAAGGGTAAATTTATCTACAAGTTTTATGAAGACATTCTTGTGAAAACTTAAAAGAAGATTTAATATCAGTCAAGGATTGTTAATTTGCATAAGAGACAATGTTTATCTTAAGTAAGAAGATGAGCACCATGGTCTTGGCTATTTTGTGAGCATACAAGGACTGTTAATCAAAATAGTTCAATATGAACATTTTCTACTAAGGAGTATGCTTTGAAGACAGTTCAAAGGTCAAATTCTTTGAACTTTTCATCAAAATGCTTCATTTCAAGCTTGACTTCTCAAAAGACTAGTATTTGATACTTTGTTTAGAAAGTTACTCAGAAGGATGTTCATAAGAAAGCTCAAAAGGTTGCTCGGAAGGAAGTTTATAAGGTAGCTTAAAAGGAAGCGTCAAAAGCATATTCAAAAGGAAACTTAGAAGGGAACTTCATAAACAATTACTTATGAGAATTTTGTTAACAACACAAATGAAAGTACAAACTAACGTCAATATTGCTTAAAAACTAAGTTATCCATAATGGTCAATTTCCAAAGGTTATAAAAGGAAGACCAAGGCTAAAATTTTGAAGTGAGCAAGGATAAAAAGAGAAATCAAAACATTGCTTCGTACTTTATTTTTCAAAAATCTCCACTTATACATTTCTACCAGTTGTAATAGAAAAATGAAGTGTGAATCTTCCTTAATGGAAGCTTCACTGTAAGAAAGTTACCTATGGTCCTTGCAATATGCGAGAACACAAAAACCTTATTTATGTACCTTCCTTGCCTAGATCTGGTGTGCAAAGGTGTGGGAAGGAGTGAAAAGGAGTCAACTAGTTGGTTTATAAATCTCATAGCAAGTGATTGTGAGTGTGGGTATCTCAACAAGTTGTTGACGAAGAAAATCTTAGTTTATGGCTTAGTGTAAAACATTAATGGTAGGTGGTTGTGAGTGTGGGTATCTCAATTGGTTGTTGAGGAAGAAAATCTTAGTAGGTGGCTAAGTGAAAACACTAATAGGAAGTGGTTATGTAGTGTGGAACTTGTATTAGCACGTTACGTCAAGAAACTTTATGAGATTTTGAGACAAGTGCATCAAGTATTTGTAGTATATAAAATGAATACGAGTCTGTCAAATCTTATGGACTTGAAAGATATTGTTAATATCTATTATCCTAGTCAAAACTTATATATATATGCCAAACATAAACATGTTGTTATTCATATCAATATTAAAGTTGTAAAAGAGAAAAACAAGTAAGCAAATGTAAAATTAGAAGATAACAAATTATAAAGTTGTTGGGATTAAATTTCAACTATTTCACCCTTATGTGTTCATAAGGCCATCTATATATGATCTTTATTATCCAATGTTATTGAGTTCATGAAAATCATTCCAAATTGATATTTTGTATTCAAATAATTTTAAGGATTCTAACTCAACAAATGATTTCTCTATTTATCAAACTAGAAACTTGCATTAAGTGCAAGAACCTATTCAACTAACAACTTCAAATCTATTCATAGTATTTATAGTTGTTAAGTGATTTAATTCAAAACCAGATTTAGAAAATATTTTCTAACTATAATCCAGATTGAAGATCAAATATGAGTGATCAAGTCAGTTTGACATAAAAAAAAACATAAGCAAAATTCTTGACACTAAATATTAGATGATATATATATATA